TTTATTTATTTTAAATTTAGAATCAGAAATACAGCGCTGAGGCAGCTAGACTAAATGTACGGTCTCTATTCTTCTATTCCGGTATATCCATAGACAAATGTTGAATAGAATAATGATCGTGTTCGTCTTGTCAGAGAGCTGCCAATTACAGAAATTATTACAGCAACAGTTTCCTCATTGGACTAATTGTCTTTCCTCTTTGTATCCCCAGCAAATAAAATTTCAAGGATTTTGCGGTTCGCTAAACGCTCATTAATCGATGCTGTAACATTAAAACAAGAGCATAAAAATCTGCTTGCGGAGTTGAAGTGATGGTACTTTCTAATTTAACAGCCTTTTTTATTGTTTTTCTCTTTGAAAAAAATTGCAGATTTGTCTCAAAATAATTATTCCGCCGAATTGATAGAGATTATTTACGGCAGTAAAAATTTTGTTACGAAGTTTGGAAAGGTTTGACTTAACTTTTATAGAAAAATGTTTCGTGAGGTAATTAAATTATGTTGTAGTCATAAAATAAAACCACCTGATTTAGAGTTTTAATTAACTTGAAACGAATGTTGAAATGTATTTTAAATTAATGCTCCCCTAAAAACCTGTTTTCGATTATTTGTATTTTGATTGAACAAGGTATTTTTATTATTTTGTATTTTTACGATGTTATTACAGAATAATTAGCTAACTATTGCTATTATTAATTAATGTAATAGTTAATAAAATTATTAATATTATTAATTACATTTTTATTAATTAAAATCATTATATATAAACTTCTATTTTTACTAACTTCGTCAAACTTTGAGGTCTCATAATGTTGTCCTTCACATTAATTAACATTTATTTATTAACATGTAATTAACATTTTGATTTAAAATTATTCGCCATTTTTAGGGTATATTTCGAAGGGTATTTTTTCTTTTTGATGGAAATAATTCGCATTTGCATTACACGGAAAAGGAAACCGCGAAAACCTTCAATATTTAGCCAAACGGTAAAGGTATATTTACCCAGGATCCGTCTACCATGGAGGGTAATTTACGTCAGCATTGTGATCGGTGCTAGCCGGGAGGTTAATTTACAATCCCGCAACTTTTAACGACTCTCTCTTTTTTTTTCGTTTTTATCTATTTATTTATTTATTGAGATTTGTGTCTCTGCTGTAGTTGGTCCCAATTGCAATTTTTTTTATTTCTTTTAAAATTTGTTACGTAAACTAAAAAAGTTGAAAATAAATTTTTATCAAAGAAAATGCCAAAAAGTTTAAAAAGCGCTATATTGACAAGAGCACAGCCAGGAACAGAATTCTTATCAATAAATTATCACTGGGATTCAGATCAGACATTATTGGGAGGCAAGTGCTCAATTCTCTGAACTATTGCCACTCAATGTGGGCAGAGTGAAAGAATGAACTAGAATTTTCAATGATTTGGAAGCAAAAAAAAAAATTCTGGATTTAAAAAAGAAATATATATATATATGAAAACACCCTTGAATGAAAAAGAATCCTTAAGTCTCAAACATCTAAAATCTTTATCCCTAAAAATCTAAAGAAAATAATGCTTTGAAAGAGCAAAAGAGATTAAAAAAAAAGTGCAAATGTCATCAAAATACAGGCCTTAATTATGAGTATGCAAAATATTATTCAGAAATATTGACTCCTGGATTAACATATACTTGCATGCCTGATTATTCCTCTCACAGCTTTTTATTCTAAGACACGTCAGTGTGAAGAAGAAAAGGTAAATTAAATCATGAGAGGAAAATTGCAGGCGAACATTATGCAGCCATAAGCAGTTTTCCTGTTAACCTTTATTTTTTTTTTCCTTCTCCTCTCTCGTCTCCTCCCTCCCCACGAAGAACACCCATATAATAGGATTTATACGATGGAAGAAGTGATGAGCTCAGGATTTTCACTTTGTTCTGTTTTTATAAGGTGTCTCGCAATGCTGCTGCTTTTTATTCTTTCCTATCCTTTATAAAAATTGTCTATGGTTCATCATTAAATAATGGATGTGAAGAATATCAGATTTTTAACTCTTTTTTTTTTTACCCTAAGAATTAAAAAATCGATTTTAAGCACTTTATTTCTGATCGATACTGTTTTTTTTATTTTTTATCATGTGGCTTTATTGGAAATCAATCCATATATTACAGGCAACAAATACAAGAGAGAGACTAAGTCTGATATGTATACTTGAACAATAAGAATACACAACAATAAAATTTTTTTAACCCTCAGGTTTAAAAAATCTATTTTAAGCACTTTATTTTTGATCGATACTATTTTTTTAACATGGTTTAGTTGGAAATCAATCCATATGTTATAGGCACCAAATACAAGAGAGAGAATATAAGTAATATGAATACACGAACAATAAGAATGCTCAAAAATTAAAATACGTGAACAATAAACAAGAACAGTGAAAATTAAGGATAACAAAATTAAAGTGAACTACAGTAAAAATCAATGTCAGACAAATGGAGACAGGAATGTCCTACAGAGAATTCATTATACTTCTATCATCCCAATATAACTTGAGAATATCGCCGTTACTTTGAGATACATTATCGAGTGCTGGGCATTCGATACTGTTTTAAGTGCATGCATTTTGCACTGCTTTATTTATTTAAAAATTTTAATGGCAGATTCTGTCTCTCAAAACTTGCTTTTTATTACTACTTACTAGGGGGCTAGGCCCCCTGTTCGTTATCGCTCACCAACCCAGATGATTGCTGCTCAATAATTGTTGTTTCTTGGCACAAAACCGTTGAAAATATTCAGCTAAATATATATGTCCTAAAAAGAACACCTGTGCCACCACATGCCGCGCTTAAATATTTCTTTTATGATACTATTAAGATGTATTAGCGAACATAAATTATTCTTTTTAAATCTAACGATCAAAGAGATCGTGGGTTCGATCCTCTAGGGGTCATACCCATACCACAAATCATACCTCTAGGGGTCATACCCTCAAATCATACTGATCCTGGAGTTTCCTGATCTTCTGGATAGGTTCAAAATTACAAGGCTGCGGAGTTGAACATTAGTAGTCGTAAACCCAAAATTGGGTCTGCTGTTCAACGACAATTATAAAATAAATAAAATAAAAAAAATGTTGTTAATTGTAAATAAGAATTGTTTTAATTTCCATTTGAGTAAGCCTTTGTTCGGAGCGTTCTGCAAATCCGTGAGAAAGGAATTTTGGACCTAAATAACAGATTTTTTTTTCAATGTAGTTTTATAAGGTATCGGTAATTGCTATTTTTCTCTAGGTCTTCGTGAGTTTATATTTTCTACATAAAACTGGTAAAATAACCGTTTTTTTTACTATTATTATTAGGATTGTAGCTAATTTCCCCTCTCCCGACTAAATGTGCCTTAACTTCATGACTTAGTGCATAATTCTACTTATAAATTTTTTTGTAAAATTATTTAATTATTTTTTTCCGGTATTTTCCTCTGTTTTTTTTTCCTGGTTTAAAGGTACCTATTTTTAGGTACATGTTCTTTTGCCACCTTTCCCCGCTACCGTCATAAATCTTCTTTAAACAGTTTTTTTTTTTTCTCTCACTATTTCGTTCTATAATAGTCATCCTTTTTATATATATTTTTAGAACCCATGTCTAAAATGAAGTCAAAATACACATTAGAATTGTAAATCAACATTTAAGCAGGAAAAAAACAAACTTTTATCGAAATCTGCTCTGAATCACTAGTGAGGAATGCAGGGATGACGAAAATCAAAAACAATACGACTACCTGATGAAACTTAGATGTGTTTCGATTAATCGCCCTTCAGCTTCTCCGTCAATCAAACTTGGTGTTGTTAGTTTTTTTCAGTTGTGATTCGTTAGACTACGTTAAAATTTATATTCTTTCCTCGCTTTAATATTAATCAGTAATATAAGAAGGTTATTGCTAAAAAACTTGTTTAAAGTGAATCCAATGACTATTTTAATATTCTAAGAATTAATTCATTTTTATGTTGCAGTTTAACTTTCAATTCTATTTTCTGAATATGAGTTTATTTCATTACAAATTTTTAACATTTGTTATATCTAGTATCATTTATAAATGTTGTATCTAGTGTCAATTATAAATGTTGTATCTAGTATCATTTATAAATATTGTATCTAGTGTCATTTATAAATGTTGTATCTAGTATCATTTATAAATGTTGTATCTAGTATCATTTATAAAGGTTGTATCAGGTATCATTTATAAATGTTGCATCTAGAATCATTTATAAATGTTGTATCTAGTATCATTTATAAAGGTTGTATCAGGTATCATTTATAACTGTTCTATCTAGTATCATTTATAAATGTTCTATCTACTATAATTTAAAAATGTTGTATGTTGTATCATTTATAATATTATTTATAAAAGTTGTATCTAGTACCATTAAAAGGTTAAAAGTAGCTGCGTTGTTAAATACACAGAAATAGAACGATTTGGTAAATTCTACATTCACGAACTTTGACTTAAAATTTCTAATTATCTGTGTTTTTATGTTTACAAAAAGTTTACTTATACCGTAATTACCATGTCAGTAAAATTAGGTATGCATTTGAGCAAAAAAAAAAGAAACAAATAAGATCCCGAGATTAAAAAGTCAACACTATTCGAAATATCCCAACTCGTGAGTTCCAATGGTCCTGATGTATCTTAATCTTCTCATTCTTCCCCTTCTTTCTGATATTTTTCCTTCGTCAGACATAGTACCTAAATCTTTTTATTTTGATGGCATAGGACTTGCCACGGCTCTTCCATTAAGCTTTATATTTCATTTTTTAACTGAATGACACTAATGATTTTTTGTGTCCCCATCATTATTGTTAAACCTGAAATAATTGAAATGTTTTCCATAACTCCATTATTGTTATTATTAGACCTGAAAATGTAAGAAAATGCATTATAATTTTCTGAAAAGTTCCTTGTTTCTTATTCATTCGAACTTTTTTTAAAGAGCATTTTATTTATTTATTTTTTTCATCAGGTCCTGACACATGGCCTGAAAAGTACCCTCATGCAGGCGGTCAACACCAGTCTCCAGTGGACATCATATCAGATATCGTCCAGTCCAAAGAATTCGATCCTCCTTTATCCTGGAATTATGGATCGGGAATATGCAAATCTATCGTGAACACGGGCTGCGGGTGGAGAGTCGATGTCCAGGGGAATTCAGGTCAGTAAACTTGACCCCAAGTATGTAGCCTCTATTCCTCAGAGGAAATATAAGATATAGAATATTTGAGATAATATTGATTTCCAGATCGTGATATTTTATGCTTCTAAACTATTTATTCTGAATAATTTTTACTTATTTTTTGTATTCTTTATCACTGAAGCAATTCAAAAGCAAAATTCCATAACTTTTAGAAAACACATTTTTACTTTAAATTGATTCAGTGTTTTCTGAAGAAAAAAATGGCTATTTTTTACTCAGACTATTTCAACACCCAACTCCCATTAATTGAAATTTTTATTTCATTGTGCATGTGTTCACAGTGTTATGAAAAACTCTGCCTTTGTAATAGTTTTTGTAAAGCAGGGTGTTTAGTAATGGCCGCTCTTAATATATTTGTTTAGAATCATTGTAAAAGTAATGAAGGCACATTCAGCGTTGAAAATTAATATTGAAGTGGGGGGAAAACGAATTTCCAAAACTCGAACCATTCGTTGAAGTCTGAAAGAGCAAAAAAAAAGAAATAAAATTATTTTAAAAAAATCGTTAATTTGTTTTGTAGGATTGGATAATGCGTCCATATCAAATTGAACCAGCATGAGACATCGTTTTCAAGTTAACTGATTTTAGATTATTTTAATCCATTATTTGCTCTTACGTACCTCAACATTGATTTGTCAGTGTTTGAAAATGATTTTTGATGTTTCCTATTAATTTGAGACCCCAAATTTTGCATAATTTTGCCGAATTTCCAGCTTCATATTTGAGAAGAATTCAAAAATTATATATTAATGACAGAATACCCTGTATAATTTGTGTAAACATAACTTATTTCCTTTGTTAATTTGGCCTGGGTTATTTATTGCCATACCGAGTTTTCAGTGATTGCCCTGATACAAAGGGTTCTGTAAAGACCACCCTTAATGTGTGTTTTTAGAAACCCTTGTCAAAAGTGTAAGCAGCAAAGTATGTACCTTGGAGGTCGCAAATTTGTTGTTGTTTTCGTGTCCATGGTTGTTTGTGTTGTCGTGTTCGTTTTCATTGTCGTGTCCGTTTTCATAGAACATCGAAGATCTGTACGATTGCGGCCGCCTCTTGACTTATATATATTTCAATTATAGAAAAACAAAAACTTTATCGAAATCTGTCAAATCACAATACAGAAAGGTTGTAATAAACAAGATTGAATGCGAGAAGAAATAGAGGAGTAGAAAGACGATTTTTTGAAACACCGTCAAGTTTCAACTTCTCAGACAGGCTCGTCAAGTTCAAAACAGGTTTGCTGTTTTGATATTTATTACATTCGCCTTCCTCTACTATAAATTGTCAGATTTCGTTAGCGTTTTTGTTTCTTCCTCTCTTACATATTTGCGTTTTTGTTTTCAATTTTGATAAGGATTCTAAAATTGCACATGAAGGGTAACCTTGATGCAACTCCCTGTTTATATTTTATAGAACCTTATCAAAAATGAAGGCAAGATAATATACAAATTGGGAATATCAATATTTTTGCGAGTAAAGATTTTATCACATTTGACAAACTGCTGAAGAAGAAAGCAAACATGATGAGAGAGAAAAAAGCTTCAACAGAACATAAAAAACCTGTTTGATTTCTGAAATATTTTTGCGACAATCAATCAAGTTTTGCATACCCGACTTCCTTATTTGTGATTATTTTAGATCAGGGGTTTCCAACTTACATGAGGCCGGGGGCCGTAATTGAAAACACCAGTCAAATGGCGGGCCGCAATTTTATCAAAATTTTATGTAGGACTCTTTTATGTTTGAAGGAATGTTAAATATTACTATCAGATTTTTATCATGTTGTACAAAGCGAAAGTATACAAACTAAAATAAAAAGTATATTTTTAAAAATATTTAATTGCATATCAAAAAATTCTGGCTACAATAACTTTAATGTGCACCTATGTATCAAACAATTAATGTGAAACAGATATCAAAATGTTAAGATATAAAACTTAAAAGTATTTAAAACCCATATAGATTTTCTACGAAAATTGTGCGCAAAAAAAAAACAACTAATATATTTCGGCTCGCGGGCCACACAACTTGCTCACACAACAACTTCGGCTCGCGGGCCGGATGAGGCCCGCGGGCCGCCAGTTGGAAATCACTGTTTTAGATTATAGCATTTTTAGTTTTTTCCTGGCTTAAATATTGTACTTCTCAACGTATTTACTTTCTTTGCCTTCTTTTTTAAAAAAGAGTTCTAAAAATAAACATTCGGGATTGCTGTTAAGGCAATATTAATAATGGATGGCTGACTGAATGTAAACAATAACAAGCTTCCTAAAAGGAAATTTAGAAAACTTCCGGTGTATTTCTCAGCTTATGTTAGGCTTACGAGGCGATGTTAGAGCAAGCTTAATATTCTAGGAAGTTTCATTATTATGATTTTTGTTCTAATTTACGTGAAATGTTACTATTCATAAGAGGGTACTGTAATTTACAAATTCTAACAGGTCATGAGCCTAAAAACATTTAAGAAAATCAGTTTCACAATATAAATAAAGTTTAAGGTGTTCGATGTTTTGTGTATTATCCCTTATTTAGCTATATTTGTGTAAAATATCACCGTTTGTGTTTTTTGAAGTAACATCAGTACATCATAGAATGCTAGCGGAGTTTTCCGAGTTTTTTTGTTAATTGATTCGTTAAAAATCAAATTGAAAGAGCGTGTTATAAGGTAAACGCTACAAGTATAATAATATTGGATGGCGTCCTTTTTCTAGCTTAGGCGTAAAAATCAATCTGACGTAGTAAGCAGGAAGTCTTCCGACGAATTTTAACCCCTAGCGCCATCTGTTCTTGACTTTGCACGATCAGCCATTCATTAGTTGTAGATCAAGTGCAAATCTTCAAAGCTTTTAATAATAAATTTCGAAGAAAAAAAATTTTTAAAAATTATATCAATTTTAGACTAATGAATACTATATTACTTACAGCTATGGTTAGTCTGACTCTGTTTGGTTATAAAGTTTGAAATCATGACCATAATTTGTTATTTTATAATTGTATTTTTTTAAACAAAATCCTTTTTATATTTATTTATTGTGTTGCAGAGCTTAGAGGGGGCCCCTTGGAGCATACCTATGAGTTGGTACAATTTCACTGTCATTGGGGTAATGACAGCCATTGCGGGTCTGAACATGTTGTTGACGGCAAATCATACGCTGGCGAGGTAACTTTATTGTTTATTTACAAATTGCTGATTACTTTACTTTTAAAACTAAAATTTCAGCACTAATTAATTATTTACTATAACTATTTAATTTTCTCCGTGATTGATTCATGAAAAAAAAGCCTATTTTTAAAAATAAAATTTGTTCTTGGACTGTGTATATTTTTCATTCTTTTAAAAAAAGACCTGAAATTAAATTGGAAGACTTGATACAGTTAAAAAATACGTCCAAATTCACAAATTTTTAGTAAAAGCCAAATGAAATTTAAAACGTCTATAGATTTTTTATTGTCCAGCTACCAGGAGAACTCCTTCAGTCTCGCGTGTTCGCGATTACTTTGCTAAGGAAGATAAGCCACTTACAACATTAAAGGAAGATAAGCCGCACAGTTAAGTTTTTCGATGGTTTGCGTTGGAAAAATCAAGTCATTTAATAGATTCTCCCACATTAGAAAAAGTTTCTCTCTTGTTTCTACTAGATCCTTTCAGTCGGGAGGAGTTTTCGTGATAGTTGATGAGTTCATAGTTTTTCCTTGCTCTATTTTCACACAAGAGAGGACTGATTTTACGTTCGTGACCAGTTCTGGTCCTAATTTCACTTACCTTGTTATTGTACAGCCTCTCCATTACATTGTACATCGTCTAAAATGTTCTTTAGATGAAAATGTAAATACAGTGTATATTTTTTACTGGAAATAACTGATTTGTAATTATTTTTGATTACCTCGCATCGATTTTCTAAAATTCACTCTTTAGTTGAATAACTTAACGTATTTCAGTAGCACATAACGCATAAGAACCAATTACGTGTAGAGAAGATATACTCTTATTGACACTGGCACCCTTACCATTTTGGAGACATTTTTGGCAGAAAAAAGCCTTACCTACCTTCCGAAGTTACGATTTTCTAGTTGCATTAGAAAGTGAGAAGCCCGAGTATTCACTATTATTTTGCTCTTCTATGAAAACGATACGTGATGAACCGTTTCGATTTAGACTTATGAATCAATCACTTTTTTTTGTTTTCGCATAATTTCATCCAAAGGGGACAGCAAAAAACGATCAAATTTGCTGCACACATTTTATGTGCATATGCTGCGAAGGTAATGTGTCTAGCACAAAAGAATAGTTTTAGAATAATGTTGTTGTATTCCTTTTTCCAGTTGCATTTCGTCCACTGGAACAAAGAATTGTTCACCTCATGCGCTGAAGCAATCGCTTCCCCTAAAGGATTGACTGTGATTGGTGTCTTTCTGGAGGTAAGTCATGCTTAACAAATTATGTTTTCAATAGTTAAGAGATTTCGCACTTTTACTTTAGCTTCCGTACGCTCACGTGCGTACAGATTGAAGCAACTGAGTATGTTCGTGTTTATTTTATATGGCTACGTATCTTTGAGTTATGTTGGTGTGGTTTATGCTGCTAAGACGAAGCTACAAGCTCGCTGTTTATAGCTGTTGAATGTTGTCTTCTGTTTAAGCCTACCTTCGAACTAAAAACATGGAATGCGAATGTAAAAAAATGTTTTGATGAAATTTCGAAATTAATCGTATGAACTTACAACCATTGATTAATTCAGTAAAAAAATATTTTTATTGGTTTTTGTTTTACATTATTTTTATCTAAATGCACTAGTTCCATAAGAAACTAGATATATTTTCGCTATTTCAAAATCATAAATTATATTTATTTTAACTATACAATTTAGTTAGAAGAAGTTAAATAATCAATAGAATAATATTTTTTTAAATAATAATAATAAGATGCACATTCTTTCTCACTAAATTCATCAAAATCTATTATCTACCAAATTTTTCTGATCACTAATCCGAAGTTTTACGTAGAATAGTCTACATTAACTTACGGATTTTTACAAAATCTCTTATTTTCATTTACGTAAGCTAGATATTTTTTCACGGACGCAAGTCTAGATATTTTTTCACGGTTTCAAGTAATTGCGCACTAGCAATTATCAATCGTTTGAAATCTTGCTTACGAAAGCTAACGTAAATTTGCGAAATCTACTAATTTCTGTGATTCAGTCACTAATATTCCGTTCTGTCTAGGTCTAAGTTTCTTTTGCATTATAATATATCTAATTAAGCTCGCAATTGTTTAAGTATAATGCTTAGTTTAGTAGAACTAATTTCAGCCAAAGATCTGATGTAATTTTGAATTCGTATTACTAAATCACTCGTTTATCCTTTCGTTTTACTCAGTTAAATTAATCGAAACTCATATGTAAATAGATAAAAAGGAAATTTTTTAAACAAATTATAGTGGAAAATATAAATACAAATAACTATATCCACCTAAATAACTTATATTTTTATGCTCTAACGAACTAAGTGTCAATCTTATAATTCAAAGCGGTGGCCGCAAATATTCTTTTTAATTAAAGTAGACTATATCTGAAATCACCAAATTGGACACAAAAACGAAATCGGGAAAAAATAATCTCTATTGTGTAGTCAATAGAGCGGTCTAATGTAAAGACCCCTCAATGTTAGTTTAACTTTTTTCTTATTTCGCCTATCTCGGTAAGTTTTTAATCGAATCGGGGAAAAACTTTGCATGCAATTAAGTACTTTCTATAGTTTTTTTTAATTCAAAAATAGGGAAACGGATGTTATGCATTTTAAAATATGACGGTGTGAATTTGTTCTGACAGTGATCGTGTACTCCCATTTGATCTGTTCAATTAACTAAACATTACTTCCTTCTCCTGGAATGAGATAAATTAATAAAACGACAAAAATATGCAAGCGTAAATATCAAATGTTTTTCTCCAGTCATCCATTAAACATTCATTCTAATGGGATATCGTGTCAAACTAATAATAGTTATATGTTGACGTTGCCTGCACCGTATGTGGCATTTATATTTTCAGGAGACATTGTTTTTTCTGTCTTTTTTGTTAATTCATGTCAACAACATAAGCGTATATTATCAAAATGAAAGTAGTTGAAATTTTTATATTGTTCATTATATTAAATCAGTGAACTTTGTTACTTTATTTTAATTTATTTAGTTTAATTTAATAAATTAAGTTTTAATTTAAATAATAAGCAATCAAATTTTAAACATTTTGAAGAAATTTATTTATATATATATAGTTTTTTTTAATTTTTTACACCTACAATGTTTAGACATTTTATGTCATTGCAAAGAATAAGAGTTTACATGAAACTACGAACTTTGCCGTTCAGATTATGATGCATCGCTAATCAACAACAAGAGTTTATCATCGATCAAAGTTCCGAATGACTAGAGTTCATAAATTTTAAATAGCCCTTTGTGTCTAACGCCAATAGTAATTATAAGTGTTTGTTAATTTGTACAAGTAAAATTTGTCATATTATCGTCAATCGAAAATTTGACAACTTTTTAAATGACTGAAATGTCCAAAATTCATTTGGAGCTCTCTCTGGATAACGTAATCAATCAGTGCTTAGTGCCAATGAAATGCAAGTTGCTATTGCTTCCTAAATAGTGCCAGTAAAATTTATTATCATGTACGTGAAACCTGAAAAGGAAATTAAGAAAATGATAGTCACTTGTTTTACAAGCAAACATAGAAAGAAATTGTCATTTTTGTCTGATGCTGTGTATTTCGCAGTACTAGGTAATAAATATAAATAAATTGCAACATAATTAATTTCCATCACCACCAACAGTTTGATTGTAAGAAAACTTGTCATTTTCACTTGATTTTTTATGGATATTAATTGATTAATCTACAGCCACAATATAATGAGTGACTCATATTCTAATTGACTTTCTTCTTTATCTCATCAAAATTGCTTTATTTCATTTCTCCATTCTTTGTATGTGTAGATGCAGAAAATTAACTAATTTAAGTGAATAAATTTGAGTTTTTGGCAGGGCCGTATACAGAAATGTATAATATTCTGTAAAATCTTAACTTAGTAAAATAGGTTGGTCAAAAAAAATTTTTTTCATTTAATCACTAGTTAATTCTATCTAGAAAAAGTGTGAATAAAACTTAATACCTTTAGTTTCTGAGAGAGATATTGTCCAAGGATTTAAAAAATGCATTTCAGAAAACTCTATTTTTCTTCTAGCAGGCTAAACCAAACTATGAAAAGTTTCTAAATTCTCTTTCCTGAAGTTTTGCTATGAGTTTAAAATTTTGAAAGAATGCTTGGTGCATATTGTACAATTAACTTAATAATTAAAAAAATATATATTATCCAAATTAAACACTTACTAATCCTATAATAGATTTCTTTGAATCAGCTACTGTCTTTTCATTTAGTACTTTATATCATTTTTCTCTTTTTTTTTTAAATAAAGAAAGTCCTTTAATTGTTTTAAACCTCTGTTTGATTATGTATTCTATTGATTGCAGGTTGGAGAGAAGAACTCAGAAATAGAAAAATTGTGTGAAACTATTCCAAATATTGCTCACAAGGATGAGAGGATCGATTTAGAATGTGATATAGATCCTGTAGCCATGTACCCTGGTAAGAACTAAAATATATCTATTTGCACATATATATACATATATGTTTAATATACCGATCTAAAAATAGGCAAGATATAATAAGTCACTGATTGGTCATTACTATTCAGGTGATGAAAAAGCAAACACGTTATAACGATCTGTTAAATCATTAGTGAGAAAGGTTGAATAAAAACATCAAAATCAGTTTGCTTGATGAAGACTGGAGGTGTTTATAATAGACTCCTATAAATACCTATATTTCTTCTGATGTTTTGATCTTTTTATCCTTGCTTTCTTTATTAGTGATTCCTTAGATTTTGATAACATTGTTTCTGTTTTTCCCCAGTGAAATAATAATTTGCGTTCCCTAAAGTGAGTTTTTTTTCACTTCATTTTTAAAAAGGATTTTAAAGAAAGTAAGGGTTATGGAACACTCTGTATGTTTCCATTATTTTTTTATCCCAGAATCAGAACATTTTTATTTAACCGTAATAATAAATATGAAACTATTCCATTGCTCATTTATTTATTTTATATACTTCTTATATGTTAAAATACAGGTAGATACCCCACATAGTGGATGTGTTAAGTTTGTTTATTTCCAAACTTGTACTTTTGATCCTAACTGGGTCTATAATAATGTATTGTGTAGTGTTGTGCATAAAAGATCTAACACTTTTTTCACTATATTTATCTCTCTTTCCCTTTGTCAAAAAAAATTTTAATCTTAATCATGAGGAACTCATTTTGACAGCTCACGTTATAAATTAATTACATTAATGTATACTTACGTGCAGTTCAGAAACGAAACATTGTAACATGAATCATATGTAAAATTTTATTTTTAAATTTTAACTATGTGTTTTAATGGCAATCTTAAGCATAACAGTAACAATTCTATGTGTTTTTATTTTGACTAAAATGTGTGATGTGACACTTTTTACTCCTCCCATTTGTGCAATTTAAGTAACCACCTTCTTCCCTTCTAAGTGTGTTACAGCTGCGAAAGACAATGTAATTCTTTCTATTGAGAGAAACTGGAGTATTTCAGCATTTTAAGCTTCTCCAATAAAATTTGGTAATAGTGTATTGCTATTATATGTCAGTAGGTTGTCTCAATTATTTATAATTTTTTTTTATTTTAAGTTTAATTTATCAAATTATACTGTAATGTACACAATTATATTGGTGGTTCATCATAATTTGAAATTTTTCATACTGGTAATCTGTTTGTGATAGCTTGGAGATTGCGTCAGTTTTCACTGGACAATTAGAAGAAAGAAACATCATGGGATTTCCCTGCTCTTCACACTTCACCCCTCCATTACAATTCCTACAAAAACTCTCAACTTTTGTCTAACGAAAGTGATTTTAGTATGAAATCGGAATATAATTGCATGGGGAAAAAACAAAATTTGCTGAAACCATGGTAACTGAGAGAGTAAAAGTGCAAGTAACCTTGAAATGCCATTTCTATTTACGAGGAGTAAAATATATGCCAAGTGATAAACTCGAGAAATTAAATAGCAGGGGCCTGTGCTGCTAACACGAAGGACAGATATCATGCTGACCCGCCTACACATAGGTCATACCCGACTCACTCACCTTCATTTGCTGTTCGGAGATCCACCCCCTCAATGCAATGTTTGCGAGGTTTTACTTTCCATCCATCATATTTTAAGCAGTGCCTTTATTTTAACCAACATCATATCACCTATTTTGGTAGCTCCATTTTATGTATAAAAGACTTATTAGATGAAACCCATCATCCTAACACATTTGCATTTCTATGTGCCATTGGTATTTTAAATTGTATATAATTGTTTTATTGTATTGACAATTTTATCAAAATGTTATTAACTTTTGTAAGTTTTTACCCATGCAGTTTTACTAGTACTCACCATGTTATTGTATATTTTTGTACTTAATGAACATAAATGTAACCGATGCACTTTCTTAACTGGCTAGTGTTTGGAGCATCATCTCCTTTTTGAACCTTGTGCCATTAAACTATGCTTTCAATTCATTTCAATCAAGTAGCAGCAGATAGAAATGTGTGTTTGTTGAACTCTGAGAAATCAATCATTTATTTTCACCAAGTCTCAAAATTACTAACAAAGCTCAACAGATTATGTTATTAACAGGAAATGCTATAAAACAATTATTTCTGCCCCATCTCAGATCATTCCTGTGGTGTGATCATGGGATCACCACAATATTTACTCTTCCTACTGGGCTGTCTCCAACAGGAGCGCCCTCTTCATTGCCTTTGCAGGATCTCTAGGGCTCGACTCATAGCTCGTCTTTAGAGATTCTTGCAACCGCTAGGGAGGGGACGCTATCTTTTGGAGATAGACCAGTATTCCCCGTGGATCTCGAATAGTTGGTTGCTTTCTTAAGCAGCAGGATAATTTTTTGTTTTTTTCCCCCTGTGTGCTCTAGAGTTTAATAATTGATTTTTACCATAATAAGTTTTTCCTTATCTCCTAATTATTTGATGCATCAGGTAAATTCAGCAAGAAAACAATTATTATTCAAATGACTTAAATTAAATTACTATCTACTCCCTGGAGCACACAGGGAGGATCCAGCATGCACGTGGTGCAGTTAGGCTCTTGTGCATTGATGAGCCGCTTACTGAAATGAACATGTTTCTCAAAAACTGAAATGAAATAGAAATGTTAAATAAAATGCCTTCGTCTACAAAAATCTGTATTTTTCATTTGAATGGAGACATACAACTTCCAGCACAAGCAGATGGCGAATGATCTTCACCACATGGCCTTTCCATCAACCACATCCCCCGACTATTATAATAATTCCAAATAAAGTATATACTTGGCACTGATTAATTTTGCATTTAGACTGTTTATTGTTGCTGTAAATAGTTATTTGAAAAACATGTAATTTTAGTTTTATGCATTACAAAGAGTCATCTGTTAGCACTTTTTGTAACTATGTTAGAAACTTGCTGAAAATAAATTTTCGAGGTTTTTTCAGAAGAACTTGACAAACCGTACATTTCTGGTTCCTTAAATTTTTATTTCCTTGATTTTTTTCTGAAATTATTGGTCATTTTTTTTGGGATATCAGATTAATTAATCTAATTTATTAGCTCATTATTGGTCTGTTAATTTTAGTTAAGAATCTTAATATAATAATAATATGATAACCATAATAAAATAAATCTCTTCACCTTTGAAATAATTTCATTTATTAAGAAAAACATATCGTTTAATATTTTGCAACTTGTTAACAATGAACTTTCCACTGTTTATTTGATATTGGTGCTTATCACAACCATATATACACACTATAACAACTGTTACAGTGTTACTACACTATAACAATTATTTTATAAAAAAGAAATACTGAGCCAGTTTCATATATTTTTTGTGCTTTTAATTTGGCTATATGTACTGCTTGAAATACTTTAAAAAAATATGTTGAAATTGATGCAAAATAGTGCAGCTCCTGTTCTATTTACGTACATCTGTAACAGAATATGTGTTGCATTTTTTTTAAACATAAATATTTTTGATATTATGTTGTTTTTTTTTTAAATTACTTTTATTAGTTCAAAACTTTGGGTCACCAGAAGTTTTTGATATCTCAGTCAATGCTATATACAAACAATATTTTTTATCCATATTATATTCAAAATAAATGATAAAAGTGACTTTTATTTTGATTAATTTTTGTAACCGATCAGATAATAAATCCTCAAGTAACATTTTTAATTCTACCAATTCATAAGCCTTTCAAATTATAAGATTTGGTAAACGTTTTGAATGCTTTAAGTTTTAGATAAACACTAAATTAAAAAAAAAATATGTTAGTCAGTGCATCTGTCATGCTTCTTCCTCAACACAATGATTTTCATCTGAATTGAATAATATTCATGTTATCACACGTTTTATAAGAGTTCTATCATTCAATCAATGGCTCAATTTTTTTTATGATAGCTGATCCATCCTATTGGACATATGATGGTTCACTGACAACTCCTCCTTGTTATGAAAGTGTCACATGGATCATGTATAAAAACCCCATCACAGTTTCTGAAGAACAAGTAAGGAATTACATATTTTTCTTTTTCCTTATTTAAATATTTTATTCTTATATCTTATTATATTAATATATATCATTTGTTAATACTCTTGAATGAAATTAAGATTATGGATTCATTTCTGAGTTATCTCTAAGGAAACAAAACTTTTACTGCTGACAACTACAATACTATTTTGAAATTTTATGTTTTAATGAAATTTTATGTTTAATTTAAGTTTTTCATAATGAATATTTTTGTACCAATGCAAAAAAAAACAAAAAAATTATGCTACTATGTTATTTAAAAAAATGGTTTTATACAAAATTTGGATCTCAACTTGTAATTTAATTTGTAATTAATATCCTTTTTTAACATGTTTTTATTGGTATTGGTGAAAATTGATTTAGAAAAGAAAAGAAAAAACAACTAACAATGACTTTATAAGCTTACAACCTGTCTAAGTAGATTACTAAGGCAGCAGACTACTTACAACTTACACTGATTTTGCTGCAGTTTATTTCAGTGTAGCATTTTTATGTAATTGCATCAAAAACTTTGTTACTAAATTTCAAGTATTGAAAGATAATTTGAACTTTTACTCAAACTCTATATTTTCTGACCTTTGATCTATTTGTGATGTATCAATCCAACAGCATTCAATGTTGATGAATTGATCAATGTTGATCAATCCATACTCCATCAACCCAAATGGTTCTGTTTTCCCTTTTTTGTCTGTTTGAAAGTTTTCGTGTCCTTTTATTCCTTAGATTTGTAAGGCCTACCACTTTTCAGTGGGTCTGCATAATTTTCCTTCTTTTTTTTTCTTAGTAAATTTTCATTGTAAGATGAAATTAAGAATTCTAAATTTGCAAACAAATAATCAGTTGAACTTAGAGAACAATCCGCTAAATGTACAAAATTGATTGAAGTATCCCATTTGTTGTTTCTGCATTTTGAGCATTCTTGAATTATATTTATAAATTTAAAAAAATTTGATAAAATTTACTACTAAAAGTTTTACTTGGAGGAATTAGGGGTCACTTACTTTACTATTTTCGAACAGAAAACATATCTTACATGTTTTAAAAAATTGGAATTGATCGCTTTGTAGTGTTTATTTAAAATTATTTTAATCATATTTTTAATGAATTAAACACAAAATCCTCATCTAAGGGGGGGTTGCAAATTGATGTTTACTTACTTTGAAATATATTTATGAAAAATATTTTTTAATTTATATTTTATTTCCCATAATTTTTTTTAATAGACATTTTTTTATTGTTAAAGTTTTAATTTGCACAATAAATTTTTGAAGTTTTATGTTACTGCACAAAATTTAGTTGTTTTTTTATAATGTGGCATATTTATTATATTTATTTGTAGTTTTAAAATCTCAAAGTTAGTTTCATAGGTACTGTCCATTAACTGTAGAAAGTATTAAGGCATTATATTTATCCAAGTGGATTTCTGGTTTTAAGAGTTTTCCCGTACTTTTAAATTATCTAATGAAGCGAGAGAGAAAAACATCAAAATATTTTTTTAATTGCAAGATTTAAAAAAAACTCTTAACTTATTTAATAAACATTATTAGTAAATACAGTAACAACTTTTATTTCAAAGTTTGATTTTTTTTTCTTCTTATTTAAAAATAATGGAAATTATTAACAATTCAATTGGCACAAATTTTTGGAAGTGGGGGATTTTGAGACCATGCTAACTTTACAAGTATTTTGACACTGTGTATTTTCTCCTAAGTTATTGAAACTGTTTTCCTAATTATTTGATTAACGAGACATTGAAATTACCAACATTGAATCATTTCTTCAACTTGAGGGAACATTTTCTAATAATTTTTTCTAATTAAACTTTAGCGGGGACCATTCTCTAATTTGCATACCTAATACGATTTTCAAGTTTACTTTTTTAACTTGTTCGTTAAAACATAAACGAAAAGGACAGTTTTAAAAATCAGCTTGCTTTGAAAATAATTTACTAACTTAAGAAACTTGTGTTTAAATTTCTACACTTTTAGTAGGATTCTGTTTCTAAAGCGGTTCTGTTTAATTGGATTTTTTTAATGTTTATGTAAGGAACACATGTAATGTAATTAGAAGAATGTTTATATACAGTGTGCCAAAACTTCGCTGAGTAACTTTTGATCTAATAATCTGATCTTCACATTCTAGGACTCAATCTTAATGGTTGAGGGGACCTCAAATATGCTAATTAGTGCAGACAATATTTTAAGTTTGAAAATCAGACACTAAAACGTACTTTCTTTGAATAAACATATCCTTTTTTTGCGACAGATTTGGATTTCTAACCCCCCAAGTATAGGCGATAGCCGCAATCTGGGAAATATGGTCTAGTTTGGTCCGGAGAGCTATCCAAAGTTTGGAACTCTTAATATTAGTTTTACTTCTTGCGTATTTCGTCATATCTTGAAAACTTTTTAAGCAAATTGAAAATTTTTTGCACGAGTCGATACAATTTCTTATTGTAAGATATACAGTTTTTTTTTTTTTTTTTTTTTTTTTNTTTTTTTTTTTTTTTTGCGTAATTTTAATGAATCTAATTTTTATGGAAAAATGCAATATATGGTTGAATAGTTCCTGAGAAATTGAATTTTAAATATGAATTTTTTGTAAGTCGATTTGTCAGAAAATATTCAACCAATTTCTCTCAAATTTTGTATTTTGCCACTAAGCAAGATTCTTGATTATAGAACCAAAACTATAGTGTGTCAATTTCTCTACTTCATTTGACCTTCATTGGTGCAATGTTTTGCTTTAGTCACTGTTAATATATTTGTTAAATTTTACTTTATTTAGGGAATAGTGACGCAGGTGATAAGAGACTAGCTCTCATCTCAGTATTTGTGTTTTTTTTATATATATATTCTATAAAATGAAAAGCTTAAAGTTTCTTTAAAGCAATTTTTATTAACCACTTTAAATTAGACAGTAACATACTTTCTGTAGTCAGTGGCATGACAGAAGGGCTGCTGTATGTTGGCAGACAATGTATCTCCTGATGAAGTGCTGTNCCTGAGTAACTTTTGATCTAATAATCTGATCTTCACATTCTAGGACTCAATCTTAATGGTTGAGGGGTGACCTCAAATATGCTAATTAGTGCAGACAATATTTTAAGTTCAAAAATCAGGCACTAAAATGTACTTTCTTTGAATAAACATATCCTTTTTTTGCGACAGATTTGGATTTCTAACCCCCCAAGTATAGGCGATAGCCGCAATCTGGGAAATATGGTCTAGTTTGGTCCGGAGAGCTATCCAAAGTTTGGAACCCTTAATATTAGTTTTACTTCTTGCGTATTTCGTCATATCTTGAAAACTTTTTAAGCAAACTGAAAATTTTTTGCATGAGTCGATGAAATTTCTTATTGTAAGGTATACAGTTTTTTTTTTTTTTTTTNTTTTTTTTTTTTTTTTTTTTTTTTTTTTTTTTTTTTTGCGTAATTTTAATGCATCTAATTTTTATGGAAAAATGCAAAATATATGGTTGAATAGTTCCTGAGAAATTGATTTTTAAATATGAATTTTTTGTAAATCGATTTCTCAGAAAATATTCAACCAATTTCTCTCAAATTTTGTATTTTGCCACTAAGCAAGGTTCTTGATTATAGAACCAAAACTATAGTGTGTCCATTTCTCTACTACATTTGACCTTCATTGGTGCAATGTTTTGCTTTAGTCACTGTTAATATATTAGTTAAATTTTACTTTATTTAGGGAATAGTGACGCAGGTGATAAGAGACTGGCTCTCATCTCAGTATTTGTGTTTTTTTTATACATATATTCTATAAAATGAAAAGCTTAAAGTTTCTTTAAGGCAATTTTTATTAACCAATTTAAATTAGACAGTAACATACTTTCTGTAGTCAGTGGCATGACAGAAGGGCTGCTGTATGTTGGCAGACAATGTATCTCCTGATGAAGTGCTGTTTTGCTAACATACATATCTTTAAAATTCTTCATCTTTTCCTGATTCGTGCTTCAAACTTTCTAAGTTGTTAAAAAAAACTAAACATCATAACTGAATATTAAAAAAATAGTTTATTATATTTACACATTAATCCATTCATTTTTTTATTTTTTTATTTCAGCTTGATTGTTTCCGCCACATGAAAAAAACATGCGTGGAACAAGAGTCTGAGAGTCCTGGATTTGTGGACAAAAATTATCGTCCACCTCAGCTCCTTAATGACAGGGAAATATGCGAATGCAGCTGCGCTTAACCATTATATAGAATACAAATATATTATATATGTCTACACCTAAAAATGTTGTATGTTGATAGAGAATATTTTCGTACGTTCCTTATTAGATCCAAATGTTCAATTCTTCGGATCCTCATTTTTTATAAGCAGAATGTAGAAATTCTTGTTTTCAGCCCTTTATACAACGAATAGTTGAGAGGTAAAGATAAACTTTCTCAACCTGATTCCTATTCTAGGCAACAGGTTTTGGCAGTGTAAAGATAATAAGAATTTATTGTATAATCTTCGTACCAATAGATATACGTAAGTCCATTCTGGTAAGTGATTCATGATGTGTCATTATGTCATATGAGATGCATCAAGAAAGTTTATTTGAGAAAAACATTTCCTGTGCCTGAAATCAGTTTTTAGTAATTTTTACTTGATAAACTTATGGGGCTTGGATTCGAAAGTCGGTAGTTTAAAATTTAAAAATTTGAATTTTTATAAGGGAAAATAAACTAGTATTGTCATATTTGACACAGCAGTCCAGATTGGGCCAAGGCTTTCTGTTGAGAAGAATTCTCCAGGATTTTTTTTTTTCATCTTTACTGCTAATCTTTTGTTCCAATCATTCTAAATTTATATTCCTCAGAATCTAGTTAACATTATTTTGGCCTTCCTTTTTTTCGACTAATGAAGAGGTTTAATGCAAGTATTTTCTTTATTGTATCTTTCACCCTAATATAATGGGGTTAAAAAGGAATTTATACTTTATTAATACATTTTTTTTCTACTTCAAAATATATGCAATGCTTGGTCTGCGCTATGCTTGATTTTAAACATGGCTTAGTGTTTTTTTTCCTATGTATCTCTTTTTGGTTTGAATAATTTCACTAAGTTCCAAACTGGTTTGGTTCAATCAATTTTGATCCAATCAATTCCAAACTGTTTAAGTTTTATCTTATTGAATTTTTCAAGTTAATTTACTGTAAAATTCTTAACATTATAAACAATTTTTGTTAGCTCTTTTGCACTCAACACAATTTTAGATGTCGTTTTTTTAAATTTTTTCAAATTATTGAGAGGTATAGTTTTTAATTTTTGAATCCTAGCCCTTCATATCATCTTGTCCAAAAAACAATTTGCAAACTCATCTATTTGATATCTTCACTGATGAAACTTGTCGTCTACTGCAAGAATAGGATTGTTTGTTTACCCATGTTGCATTTTATGTCTGGTATTGTCTAATTTGTGTTTTGGATGCATGCATATGTGATCTCAAATTGTGTCTAAAAACTATGCAATATTAAATAAAAACTACGTATATAGAACTATGCAATATAAAAACCGTTAGACTTTTAAGAAAATTTTCATTACTATACAATATATTGTATAATCATATGCAAAAATATGATTTTTTTTTTAAAATTGTTTTTATGTGTATACAGGGTGCTTTAGGGGAGCAATATACTTAAAATAATTCAATATTTCATGATAATTTTAATTTAGTGCATCTGTTGTAAAGTATCATATAAATCTTGATATTGAACAGAAATATAGATGAACTTAACACCTTGTTAATGTTATTACAGTTTTAAACTATGATTTAGTTAAATATATCAATCTTTATGCAAATGTCTACCAGTGCACCATTTGATTTTTGATTTTCTGGATTGTTTGAAATGAACTACTCTTTCATCTTATAATAAGAATATACCAGTTTTATAATTTTTAGCTGTAAGTTATGTAATTTAGAAAAAGATTAATTAGTTAGGTGATTTAATTCATAGCGCAATTAAGACGGAACATGTAAATTTAAGGTTAATGTCATAGTTTTTAGAACTTTCTTAAATATTTTATAATTTAAGCAATATTGATTATTATCGAAGTAAAACACGTGTAGAAAAATAATAATTATACTCGAAGGTCTATTAAAAAATTTACATTTCTAGAAAGAAGGACAAATTGTTTTGAGTAAACGTGTTATAGATTAGAAAAAAAAGTTGTTTTTTTTTTTTTTTTTTTTTTTTTTTTTTTTTTTTTTTTTTTTTTTTTTTTTTTTTTTTTTTTTTNTTAGGATATAAAGTTTTAATGCTTAGTCAACAGTATTCTATATTCCTCAACTATATTCTACAGTATTCTTACCGCTTTAAAAATGTAACACTAGTTTTGTTTATTAAAATTGAAGAAATGTTGAATTTTATTAAAATATTAGGTGCCAAACAGATTTTGTAGACCCCTAATTATACTTATATATTTTAATTTTAACTCTTGTATTTTTGTAATGTTATTTTAGACAAGCATTTATTAAAATTTAATCCAATTCATTGTTCCTCTAACAATGTTTCTCTTCTAACAATGTTTCCCTTAAACACCCTATACAATCATTGTATGAAGGGATAGTTTCAATCCTCTAATACTGGAGCCACAAATGTTGAACAAAATACACCTATCAACTTTTGTTTTTAATTATCAGACATAAATGCTTTATGTAATGTTATTCTAGTCATAATGTTATACATTCAAATTTTTACATAATCTCACCACTTTATATTTGTTGTCTGTGGACTAATTTTCTATAAATTGTTGATCATATTTAAATGTGCAGATATTCTGACATTCCTTTTTAATCTAGAATCAAAAATAGTACTGTTCAAGTTCATAATGCAGGTTCATAATTATTGAGCTATATGAAATAAACAATGCGCTATTCAGTTCAAATATTTTGTGCAAAATTTTAAATAACTAAATATTTATTTTACATCAAACATCAATCCATCAGTAGCTTTGATAAGAGGCTGATAAAATTTTGCAATACTCGCTAAAAAGTCGAAACGTAAGTAAGCTCCTGAATTGCAGTTTTGAGATAAGTATTGTTTTATAGACTATGTGTGGGATTTTTGTCTTTATAGTCTCACAAAAAAATTAGTCACAAGGTTTAAAATCAGGAGAATATACTGGCTTTGAATTATAGTGTCTTTTTAGAAATGCTCTACTTTAATACCAAAAATGAACAAAAATAAATGTGCACGTTCTTAAAAAGAATCCTGCATTTAACTACCGAGTCTTACTAGATTCTAAAGATAAGAATCTAAAGATAATTCAAAAGATATTAAGTATTTTTATATAGTTCAATAATTACCCTTTCACATTTCTATTTCTAAAAACAGTTTAAATATCTGTGAAATACGTTCTTCACAATTATTTTTTATCTTTCAGAATGAATTTAGCTATTTCATTTTAATGTATACAATATCTAATTTAATATTCACTTGAAGTATTAATTTTCTAATTCATATCTTTTGATATTGATCACTAAATGTTTTAATCACATTTTCTATTCTTCAAATTTAAAAACATCTTATTACCTTATGAAAAGTAGGTATATAAAGCCAAATTTTGTATTTAAAATTTTATCTTCAAATTTCTAGCCCTTTCTTTTGATTAGACTTGTTGAGACATATTTTTACAGCCAAAAATGTATATTGTAACTTATTGCATATTGAAATTGAGTGTACTTTTCAAGACTCAGTAAATTTTATCTTCAAATTTCTAGCCCTTTCTTTTGATTAGAATTGTTGAGACATATTTTTACAGCCAAAAATATATATTGTAACTTGTTGTATATTGAAATTGAGTGTACTTTTCAAGACTCAGTAAATTTAGAAAACACTTTTTTACATTTTCTTAAAAACATTAATTCTAATTTTTTTGTGCAAAAAATGCCAAAATATTATATAGTATTAGGATGCCAATAAAAGTATTTAATTTGTATATTGTAATGTCTTAGAACTCAAAGTATTATAATATTTTGGCGGACAAAATACATTGCAAAAATGCCTATCATATGATCTAATATTGGAACGTCTTGTGGTAATAAATATTGTTGAATTGATTATAAATTGAACCCTTTCTATGGCAGATGTATAATCAATTTATTTCTTCTTTTTTATAGACAATTAATGTTTTTAGGCCTTGCCTATGATTGTTCTAATGAGAACATTGAAAAATTTTAGTAGATTTTAACGACTTTCTATCAGTGATAATTTACGAAAATTAAAAGTTACAATTAAAATTTTTAAGATGCTATAAAAAATATTTTGTATCTTTAATTATGAGTACTTTTTTTTTCATTTTCAATTCCAAATTTATCTGCAAGTTATTAGATAGATTTTACTTGCCTGAGTGTGCATTTGAAAATTTACTTTCAAACTTCTTGTAATTACTTGTGAATTTCTTTTTATTGCTATATTAATTGGCTTGCAAACTTCTTATTGCTTGTAAATTTTTTATTATTGCTATATTTGAAAAAAAAAATAGCTTGCAAACTTCTTGTTATTGCTATGCATAACCTCATTCATTGTTATTGTAATGTTGATGTATCTAAATTTTATTCAAGTTGTTCTTCTGCTTTTGTTGTTAATGCTGTGTGCTGAAAATGTGGGCAATAAAGTGGTGCTAACTACATTTAATTTTTTATAAACTTTGGGAGAATGAAATTTCTGTAAATAATATATATAGTTTAATACCAAAACCATGTTGCATTTAAACTGAAGTCTTCCGTTGTAAAAAATATCTGTATATTTAATGTTTAATTTAATGACTCAAAAATATATTGATTAAATATTGAATTTGTAAGATGAGTAATTTTATAATATTTTTTCTTTTAAATATCACAAAATTGTTTGATAAAATTATTATACAACCAATTCTCTTCCTTTTGAAATAGATCAATGAATATGTTTTTTAACGTTGTATCGCTATATAAATTGTCTATTAATTTATTATATTTATTTCATTAATTTCCTAATACTGTTTAAAAAATTTAGTGTAATAAATCAGTTGTGAATAATGTTCAATAAGGAAAAAAAATAGTCTACATTTCATTTAAGATTACAGATCGATGAAAATATGTATAAACTTATATTTTTGTAACTATAATTTGCAACAAATACACTACAAACAAGACATATTTTGAATATACTTTTTCAAAAAATTACTAAAACTAACCTATTTAATGTTTTATCTTAAAATTGTTTATAATCTAATTTCTTATTAATCTGTGAAATAAGACTTCCATTTAATTGGTTAATTTATAGTCTTTGTTTCCTTTAATGAAGTCCTGTGACTTATTTTATTTTAAATTGTTTAATTCAATTGTCTAAATTTAAGTTTTAAAATATTCATAACAAATTTTAAAATATTCTACGCTTTTAGTTTCAATATTTTTTTCATGAAATTAGTTAACTTTTATAATCTGTTTAAATTAACTTTTAATGTATCATATATAGATTCAAATAAAATTTCTACAGATTTTTACTTTTTATTTTATATACTGAGTTATTGTTAGATTAATATTAACTGACATATTCATCTAGTGTTGATGAAACTTATTTGGAATGATATGAATTATGTTAAAACATCTATTCTATTTCATAATCTATTTCACAAATTTGAAAGTTAAGTAAAAAAGCAGCAAATTTTTTGCAAATGTGCTAACATGTCTAGCAACTTTTATGATTTTTATTGACAATATTTTCTATTGGTAGTCAGTTTATGCTTTAACATATTACTCTTCTTTTGAAGAAGAAAAATTGATTTAAAATTATTCTAACTGTCACAACATAAATAATTGAAAAAAAAACATATATAAGAGCCCTAAAAATATGCTTTATGTGGGTAAAAGCCTGACAAAATTTTTAATAACTTGAATGCTTTTACCCTGCTTTATAAAGTACCGCTATGGAAAATCTTTAGCAAAAGTTGTAAAAGTTGGCAGGTATGTATTCAATAATCTGCACATACAATTAAATCAAAAGTAGTTTCAAGGTTTTAGTTTGATTACCAAACTGATTGAATCAGTTATCTGAATAGTTAAAATTACTACTAGTGTTTAGAGTTATTAAAATACTGGAATTAGTTATAACATTAATGTAATAGGTATAACTTGTAATTGTAATTTTTTTGTGCAGAAGTAATAAGATAGGAAATTTTATAAGTATATTTCTTTAAACAATTTATCTGATAACTGTATTAAATAAATAAAAATAAAACAACTCTAAATTCATTGTGGGTTGTATTATTCGGTTTGATACAATCATCCATATGTGAATTTTATGACCTTGACAACTGATAGAATTTATTAGTTTTCCATGAGATTAGTTAAAAAATGAATTAACTCAGAAATTAGCTGATCTGAAGATGTTAATTAGAAATAAAGATGTTTCTTAAATGTTTTAAATTTGTGGACATTAGTATTTCTATATTTGTTTTCAAGTAATATGTTTTTTTTTCTCTACTTGTGTTTTATTTTTAAATTTTAAAAATCAACATATGTTTATGATTAACATATATTTATAATTATATTTAACAAGACACTGTTTTACAATCTACTATAAGCTAGTCTGTGCTTTTGTTTGTGATAATGTACTATGCAATTTTGTTAAGCATTTAATCTTCTGTGATGCATTTATAAGAAATGATCAAACTTTTGTTGTTAACTGTGCAAATTCTATCACATTATAAGTTGTTTCTTGTTGCTTTAATAAATAGTCTTTAAAAAAACACTGTTTTTGTGATATTCTAATTTTGTAAGCCTATTCAGCTTCATTTTAAAGTATTCTAAAGCACTTTTTGTGAACTTCTTATTGATTTAATTTTATTATGGTTTTTTATAGTGCACTTTGCAGTAGGTAAGAATGGCAACGCTAATAGCTTCTAATTCTGAATGCTATTGATATTTAAATTACATGCACTAAATTTTTATTACCTATGAGATATTTTTTTTAAATAAAATTAACACTTTAACATTCTTAATTGAATTTTGGGGAATCAGATTATCTTAAGCAATAAATATATGGGGAAAACTGTCTTGTGTTGCATTATTTCCTTTTTTTTGGACGATTCTATATATGTCATGAAAAAAATGGCATTTTGTTGCCTAAATTTTTCATAAATACTTAGGAAAATGCCTAAAAAAATATTATAATGATGGAGAAATAAGTTTAAAATATTTACTTTAATCTGTATTTTGTTAAAATAGCAACGTGATTTCTTACATTATGTATCAAAGCACTAAATTGCTTTTTCACTGTAAAATAACTAGTTCATTGCTGCTAAATGTTAAGGATATTGTCACGTAACCGTTCTGTTTAAATTTTATTCTCCTGTTCTTTTATTTGTCTATTACTGCTACATTTTAAAGATATTGTCACACAACCGTTCTGTTTAAACTTTATACTTCTGTTTTTTATTTGTAAATGTCTAGGTACTGTTTTTTAAAATATAATTTTTGCTGTTACATTGGCTCAGGTAACAACGTGAATGTCCAAAATTGGCCTTTTTGGTTGGAAAAAGGTTTTTTTTTTCGGTATTTATAGAAAACTTTCGTAATGATTTGTGTTTATTACTGTCACTAGACAGAATTGTAAATTTATTCCGAAATTTTTACAGTGAAATAAATTTCAAATTGAAGTTTATATATGTTTTTATGCTCTAATTTTATTAAAAACTGACCTAAAAGTGACTTTATTATATCAGAGAGCAAAGAAAAAAATATATAAGATATTACTAAACATTTATCAACATTTATTAATATTATTATTTATTTTTAAATTTTTTTTTTAACTTTCGCACTTGAAGTGTACAGCGAAATTGATTGTCGCCACTGGCCACAAAGCGACTAAATGTAACAAATGGCTGTTAAAAAATTGTTTGCCAGTCGCCACCCAATCACCACTCTTTTTGTCGCAAAAAGCACTCCATCCTGTTTTTCATTATTTTTAAATATAAAATTGTTTAGAATATTTTATAATCTAAAAATTACATTATTTCATGCTTGTTTCTTAACATTTCTCATCAATTTAGATATAACAATGTTGTTGCTTTATTCTAACTGATCTAGCCAGTAGGCTTAACTACCTTCATGAGGCCATAGGTTCCAAAAAGCGATGAAGCCATACCTTCAGAAAATCCTAAAATTCTCTCAAAGCTTCCCTCTCAAGTTCCAAGTAGTATAGTTGATGATGGGGTGGCAAATTTGAAACATTGCATTTTTCACAGATGGGAAAGGGTTATCTACAATTTTAATTTATCTATAAAATTTATCTTGGTTTAATCTATAATACCTTAAGCAAAGAATATACATAGGTGAAGAAGCTAAATTCAATCGACATAATGTAAACCAGTCCCCCTAGGCAAAGAATATGGAAAGGAGAAGAAGTCCAGCTCTTAGAATACATAATAAACACTGGGAATTGGGTACACTGGCTCCTACCACGCCAAATCTTGGGGGACTGGTTTACATTATGCTCATGGAAGCTAGCCTTCTTCCCCTATGAATATTTTTACCCAAGGTTTTAATGTGGTACCTGTGTAAAAAGTAAACAGCATTTAAAGACACTGCAGTAGAAGTTCATGAAACTGTTTTGCACCCTCCTCTCCTCTCAACCACTACTGGGGTTAGGGTGGGGATGAAAAGTTTTCTCTTTTTCTTATTTATTGTTGGTTTGTTCTGTATTTTTACTCTAATGATGAACAGTTCTGTATTAAGATATTTCTTTGAAAATACATTTATATCCATGTTGATTAAATCTGCTAACACATTTTGACATAAAATGAAAGCATAAAACGGTGGTACGGGACTCAGTGAACCCAACAGTACATGTAGAGCTGAGAGTTGGCAACCGGTTTGCCAACCAACAATCGGTTCACGGGTGATGTGCCTCCTGACAGCCACTTTACTTCTTATGCGCATGCGCTGGATCTTATTACATATGATGTTCTGATAAATCTGAGTATGTTTCTCTGGTATTACATGCCTCACCGAGCTGTTCCCCTCGTTAGTTACGTTTACGTATTTAAAGAGCTAGACTTCGCTTTAAAAGCCATTTGCTAGTCTTGATAGTGCAATCTTAAGTGAGGTGCCTTCCCCAAAACTCAGAGCACCTCCACGTTGTTTGCCACTACATCAGACATGTGACGGAGTCGGGCACCACGAAGAGGCAAGAATAGACTTTGCTCATGAATAGAAACTATTCAAGTTCCTTCCTTTTCTAAGCCATCGGCTACCTCATTTCCCTCAATACCAACATGCGAAGGTGCCCACTGAAAATATACATTGTGACAGAGACTTATTTTAGTGGTCAAAATCGTTATTTAGGTTCTATCGCCCATACGGTGCCAGTTCTTCATATGCTGGATAGAGCCGCGACTATCAGTCAGAATCCTAAATAATCCGGATTTCTAGTTTTAATAGTAAGAGTATTAGAAGGTGATTTAATGAAGACACTACTACCACGCTTCAAAAGAAATACCCCACATCATCAAAATCAATAGTTCTTTTAAATGTTTTGAATTTTTTGAAAAAGTACCCTAGTTAGAAATGCTATAACTGGCCATATCCAAAATTTCCTAATACTGCCCTATAACTCTCAGTACTTTAAAATGCTAAACTAATATAATCAGTAAATCATTTAAGATACTTAAGTCTGTTCATATTATAACTAAAATAATCAGGTTACTAAAGATAAAAATAAATTAAATTTATAGCTGTGACTTTTGATGTCTCATGTCGAAGGGCAATGGTTTTTAAAGAATGAGTTCAGATTAAAATGTTTAATATGATGGTGGGTAGACACAAATTCCGCAATCGGCTCGCGCCGACCATAGTGCTGATTGAAAATATCCTTAGTGGTAGACGGATCATATATTAGAGTCCCCTTGCCGTCAGAACCGTGGGAGGTTTTCCTCAGCATGTAACGCAAATGTGGGTTAGTTCTATCAAAAAGTCCTCCACGAAGGTAAATTTCTCTCAATACTTGATCCAGAGCGGTGGTGGCTCAGGTGATAGTGCGCTCGCCTTCTAATGAGGTGAATCGGGTTCGAATCCCAGCCATGGCTGGTCGATGCGAATTCCGCGCTCTGCTCGCACCGAACACAATGCGTACGTAAAATATCCTCAGTGGTAGACGGATTGTGGATTAGAGTCTTCTTGCCGTTACGCTAACCGTGGGAGGTTTTCCTCTCTGTGTAACGCAAATGCGCGTAAATTCCATCAAAAGTCGAAGGCAAATTACTTACTTGATCCAGGAGTTCCCTTGACTTCTGGATTCCGTTCAAAATTGCAAGTCGACTTAGTTGAACATTAGTAGTCGTAAATCCAAAATTGCGTCGGCTGTTCAACGACGAAAAATACTTGATCCAGGAGTGCCCTTGTCTTCTGGACCAAGTTCAAAATTACAAAAATATGGAGATGAACATTGGTAGTCGTAAACTCAAAAACTGGATCGGCTGCTCGAGGACGGTTATATTATTATAATATATATATGTTATTCAAAAACTTTTTTAAAAAATATGTTTTCTTTTCACAATTGAATTTTTTTTCAAAACCTTCTTTTATTTAGAAAACTGAAGTATTCTCGCCACAGCCCGCTGTGAACCACAGGAATTCACCGTTTGTTTCCTAAAAATTTTCTTTATTTTAGAAAGAATTCTTTATTTTGACCACATTTTTACCATAGTTTGAAATATGCTTTACAAGAAGTTCTACAGGAATATACCATCAAATTAACCTGGTCTTTTTTATGTCCGATCTTCATAAATCAGTCCGAATTCCAACATTAGAATAATGGTTATTCATGATTACTCCAACATTTGATTTCTAAGATACTACTGTGGAAATTCGTGATGGTTCCAATTATGCATTTCCATGATAGTTTAATGGGAATTCTTGTTGGTTCTTAGGAATATACCATCAAAACAATTCGGTTTATTTTGTATTGGACCATCATAAATCTGTCCGAATTTTTACATTGGGGGGATGGTGGTTCATGATCGCTCCAACATTTGATTTCTAAGAAAATATGATAGAAATTTCTGCGGGTTCAACATAAAAAAACCACCAAAACAAGTTGCTATTCTTATGATGGACCATCATAAATCTGTCCGATTTCCTACATTCGGCTGATGAATGCTTATGTTGGTTACCATCAAGATTATTTTGGTCCATCAATGGAAAACCATCAAAAATTTTTACTTGGGAATGACTCGCATCATTAATATCAACAGCTCTTTTAATCGTTTTAAATTTTTAAAAAAATGGTTTCGTGTTTTGAAAGTGGCCATTGATAAAAATAGCAAATTTCCTAAATTTGCCCTGTAAATAGCAAGAACGTTTCATATTCCTAACCGTTCACGTACGTACATGCGTTCTGAAGTTAAATGTCCAGCTTAGAAGAAGCAGACATACACAATTTCAGAACATACGCACGTGAACATGAGGAGATTTGAAACGGTATTTCAGAGAATAAACTCTTCACTTCACGTACCATATTCGCATGTTCACGTGCGTATGTTCATGTACGTATGCTTTAGAAGATAACTAGAACACATAACTACACAGTAGATAACTATACAGTCGATAACTATAATAAAAACAAGATTTTAAAGAAACCTCGATGGCCGAGGGAGACAAATCAGGGCAAACTGTATTTCTAAGCGCTAGTAGTACAACAGTCCAGAATCCAGATCATCAAGATCTTGGTGATCTGGAGTATTGTTTCATTCGTATAGATGCCGTTCAACAAAATAATGACATAAGATACTCACGTCTCCTTCATAGCTCTGGGAAATACATCAAGCCCTGATTTTCATCTTAATTTTTTTTGGGGGGTGACTTAACGTTTTCTGCTTCAGGTTAGTTTTATTTGCCTCATTCACGTTTATCGAGTCTTGAGAATGAGCGCCTATTTTTGAGTACTTGAAACTTCTCTACTTTTTCTACCTTTATAATTTCTGAAGCAAATGGACGATTTATATTATTAATTATAACTGCAGTTATTTTTTCCATAACTTTATCCGAAAGGAAACTTGTTAATACAATTAGTGAATATTTACTATCCGTGATAATATAATTAATTGTGCAAGAAAAAAAAATGATACTGAAAAACAAAAATTTTTTGTAAAAAATAAAAATTTAATTCTCACAATAACCACACACAATACATTTTATTCGTTATAATTGCTTAAATCTTTTATGTTAAAACTCAAACTATACTTCTTAATGATGATAGTAATAGTATTTCCCATAAGGGTTATAATGCAGGTGTTTATGGTGGTGATGATCATAATAGTGAGGATACCCGTTGTGGTGGTGATGATGGTGGTCGTAATAAGGGTAACCCTTGTGGTGGTGGTGGTGATGATGATAAGGATGAGGATGGTGTTTGTGATGGTCGTGGTGATGGTGATGATGATAGTAAGGGTGATACACTCCTCCGAGTACTCCAGACAGGAGGACCATCAACGCAATAACCTAAAATAAAAATAATAATGATTAATGCTTTTTTTGGATTTGGGCATCTCGAAGACAAAAATAAAGAAAGAAACTTCAGCTAATTATGTTGTGTGGTTATTCTCAAAAGAGTTTAGAATTATAAATATCCCCCCCTCTTTTTTTTCTATTTTAATGCATAATTTTAATTCATGGAGGCAGAGAACAAATTGCTGATTTAAATCTCATGATTCTGTTTTGTTTTTTAAAAATCATCTTTATAAATATACTATTCATAAAGATGACTACTCATAAAGATTTATTTCTGTAATTAAGAAAAACACGAAAAAAATGGCGAAAAAGTTAAAAGAAAGACGCTGAATAACTTTTAATTTAATGATCGCGTTTTCCTGCACCTATAGTTATAGTTTTCAGGTCTTGAGTAGTGAATTTTGAATATTGTAAATAATTTGTGCTGGCCAGTGACGCAGTCACTGGAAGGAGTTTTAAAATCGATGGTTTTAAACGAAAACATAATTAGAAAAATAATCAAACTACTTTAAAATTTAATTGATGTATAACATTTGTAAAACAATAAGTGGGAAAGAGGCAGTTAGTGCTGTAAACAATGTTTACAAATTTGATTTTAAAAAAAAATAAAGGAATGAAATAAAATTCTGAATGCAGATCATTTCTTGCTGCTGCTGTATTACTTTACGCAGTGGTCGAAGTCAATGTACGCAATTAGAATGCATGGCCGAGCTTTAATAAGATCTAACTCGGAAAAGTCGGTGTGAAATCGATCCTCAGAAATTGAATTTTAAACATCCGACTTTTTAAAAATTCGATTTCACAGGAACTAGGGTTTTTGTGTCTGATATCGTTATTTAAAATATCGCCTGCATTAATTAATTAGCATATTTGAGGTCACCCCCTCAAACCATGAAGATTGAATCCATTCATTAGATCAAAAGTTATTCAGGGTGGTCCGTTTTTTGCTTTTCGCACTGCACTTTATGTTTTGAAGGATGTGAAAAAGTATTGATCACATAAATCACAAATATTTGATAATTTCCAAGCATTTTTTAAATCACTATCGAGAAAAGCATAGTTTGAAAGTTAAAAGAACGAATTCGTAGGAAGTGATTTAGAATTTTAAAAAAAAACTATTTTATGTAAACATGAATTAAAACCTCTTAGTATCTCCTCACATTTAACCAAGCTAATTTTTTATTCAAAATCATTCAGAATATTGGTGAAAATTAGGTTCTCCAGTTAAGTTTTTCTTCTAAAAGTAGCGAAGTAGTGGCTAAATTTCGAAAGTAGTTTGTAGTTGCTACATTTAAAAAACATAGTTGTAGTTAACTACAATTGTAATAAAGTAGTTGTAGTTGTAGTTAACTACAAAGAAAATGTAGTTTTTCCGACTACTGACTTTAGGTATATGAAGTACTAATGCCATTCATCAATGATCCAGATCTTCAAACACTCTTTTACGTTTCGCATTACAGTGTAAAGTCAGCAGAATTTTTATCTTTTTATAATATACCTAGAGAATTTTAATGAAATGCAGTTACAAACAAAACTTTCTACAACGCTTTTACTTGCCATTCAAAAAAAGAAGAAGAAAAAAAAGTATGTAAATCACAGAAGGTTGGAATCTCTAACTTTCTCATAGTATAAAATTTTGCATCTTCAATACTGAAGACATCTATTATTTTTTGCATTAAAAGTTAAAATTTTATTCTCACTTTAAATCATAAGTAACTGACTTTACTGGTTTAATTTTTTTCATTTCTTAACGGTCTCACGAATTTTTTTTTCTGAAGTTCTTAGCATTTATAAGTAGAAAAAAATTGAACTTTTTTTTTCATTTGTTATCATCCAGTTCCTAAGTAACAACCACTTAGCCACTTTATACCTCAAAACAATTATACTTGCTCTGGAAGAAGAAAAAAATTCCAATTCTGCAAAGTTGATGAGAAAAAATTTTGCGTTCATTATTTCATTATTGTTATCTTATTACGTTTTTTTTTTATTTGTACGGAATAGCTCCTCCTGATTCAAAAATGTGTAAATACTTCTATTCTATAGAAATTTATTAATCTTTTGTTACTATCCTAAGAGCCTCACTCTTACATAGTAAAATCAAATGTTCATTTGATATTCTTGATATCCAAAAAAAAATAGTTCGCCTAACAGCAAATTCTTACATCTTCAAATACTCAGATCAATATCAATACCTGTTATTGGGGCACTTTTAAAATACAAGATTTAATACATACAGAATTTACAATAAGTCATATAAAAATAAAATTAAAAAAACAAGTTAATTCATAAGTAAAAAATTCTTTCAATCAAAATTGATAAAAATCAATAAAAAAAAAGCTTTGAAAATTAAAAAATTAATAAAAATAACCGAAAAAACTTATAAATAATGTAATAGAAAGCAAAATAAAAGACCAAAGTAAGTTAGACCAAAGTAAGTTCCAAAATAAGTTACAGAAGCATTTTTTCTGAATAAGTTTGCATTCGAACAACTAGAATTTTTGACATTTTACAATTGAAGTGAATTTCCGAAATTTAAAAATTAAAATACGGACGCAACAAATAGAACAAAAAGCTGTTGAAAGTTTGACCCTCTAATTTCCTCAGGTTTCCAGAACCATTTAAACTAATGACTAAGAAAAAAAATAACTTGTACATATTTTTAAATTTAAACGATCAAAAGATAATTCCATGAGAAATAAAGTTATTAATTATAATTTGCTATTTTTATTGCTTAATTATGATGTAAAAATTATAAATCGGAAGGTATAAATTTTTTCACATAATTTTAACTGTGAATTTTAAGTGAAAAAAATCCATAATATAAACAAAATTCGTTGAATAGTTCTCGTTAAATAAAAATTGAAAATACCAATTTTTAGAAAATTTTCCTTACATTTAAACTATTTAGAAAATTTAATTAATTTTTTCTATTTGTATTTTAATACGAAAAAAAACATTTAAAAAACTATTTTTTTTCGAAATTTTATTGCAACGAAGTTATTTGACCTCTTTCGTTTAATTTTGGTATTTGTCATTTAAAATTGAGAAATGTCATCTGCTCGACTTTCTGGTTACTAAATTATCTTCTTCACTGAATATCGTTTTGTTTGCACAAATTTATTTTGTATGTTTAAGATGATTCTTACAACACGGAAAAAAAATTCAATTTTTTTTCTTCTAAAGATTGGAAGATTTCGAGTACGGCTGAGAATTGAATATACTAATTAATCAGTAAAATAATTTTCAAGTTTCTTATTGAGTACCAAGGGGCACTTTTTGGCCCTGTTAGAAAAACAATACCATGAAATAATTATTCTTCCTTCAAGAATTAAAAATAACTTTTTTTTAAAAAATTCAAGAGCAATGCGGTAATTAGAAGTTTTTCAATTTAAAAAATATTTTGGTCGCTTTTATTGATCTTGAAAAGAGCCGTTTCGGCACTTTTAGAATAACAACGATTAAAAAAAAAAAGGTGGGGAGAGATTGGGCTCACACTACTGTTTCTCTGTGAAAAGTATTTCTAAGTTTCAGGTTTTGTAAAAATTGAGTCCAAAATGCTAAACTAATTTATGGAAAATTCTATTTATTGTCGGTGGCAAGTTTATGCTGAACACAGCTCAAAATGCTTATTTAAGAAAATGGATATATTTGATTCCGTTTTCCAAACTTCAGTCGATCTCTATTATTTGAAGTTATTGCGCTGGGGGAAATACGATTTAAATGTATCTAGCTTTCTAAATATCATCACTTTTACATCATTTAGAAAAGAACTAGTTTAATAGAATTATTTAAAATAATTAAAAGTCTAAACATTTTCAAGATATTTTGTATTCCATACAGATAGAATTAATTTCATTTATTAAACAGTTTCACTTACCACTTGTAGATACATTTTAGTTTTACTCTTAACTGCAACAAATCTCGAAGAACTGTAACCTTTAAACTGTAAGAGTTAAAGTGTTAAACTACTGCCTTATAAGTATCAACTAAACAATAAACAGAAAAAAATACAAATTTCTTAACATAGAAAACATGTCTGCCCCAATTTTATATACTACAAGAATGAAAAAAATTCTTGTAGTGCGAAAGATTTTGCAAACGATAAAGAATAGTTTGAAATATATAAAGTGAAAGGAATCAGCATGCATACAACACAACTCGATTTCTGATTGTCTTTTATGTCAGTTATGATTTTTTGGGTACAGCGCTGAATGCAAGAGTTCATGAGGGTTGAACAAGGAGAATAAACCATTTTTTTTTATAGATAATTTAATGAATCGAAGAGGTCGTTACTAATTGGCTCTTTGCTTTTATTAAATATCCCAAATTTGCTTTGTTTACTTTCTCACAATGAAGGTGAGGAGAAAGCGTCGATGATTTCTCGTTGAAAAGTGAGGGTCATTTGCCTTGGAGCGAATCTTCAAATGAAATGAAAGTGATTATGGCCTAATTTATACCTCAATGTTGTTTCCCTGAGAGGGTAAACTAATTGTCTTTTTTTATAGAAAGATTCATATTTATCATTATTAAATATATATTTCTAATTTTTATTTACTGATTGAATATTTTCATTTATGGAAATTAAGTATCTTAATTTGGAATTAAATATTTTAATCATTGTTAAATATTTTTTAATACATTAATAAATATATATTCACCATTATTAAATATATTATTTGTATTTTCCTTTATAGGAGAATGATTGGCGAAATTAAGCATCCTTATTTAGAAATAACTATTTTCACAATTAATAAATATTTTTTTATATAAATTATTAAATACATTCTCACCATTATTAAATATTTGTATTCATTATTAAATATTTGTATTCATTATTAAATATATATTTCTAGTTTTTAATTACTGATTGAATATTTTCATTTATGGAAATTAAGTATCTTAATTTAGAATTAAATATTTTAATCACTATTAAATATTTTTTGATACATTAGTAAATGTATATTCACCATTATTAAGTATATTATTTGTATTTTCCTTTAAGGGAGAATGATTGTCGAAATCAAGCATTCTTATTTAGAAACAACTATTTTTACCATTAATAAATCTTTTTTATCTAAATTATTAAATGCATTCTCACCATTATTAAATATTTGTATTCATAATTCCATTTATGAGAGAAGTCAAATAACTAATTTAGAAACAATCTTTTGAACAACGCTAAAAATATTTTTCAAATTTTATTTGTTGATTGTATATTTCCATATCTCGTGGAATCATAATGAAAATTAATTATGTTATTTAAAAGATAATCATTTTCTCCGTTATTAAATATCTGTTTAAAGTTTTATTTATTGATACTATATTTTGGTTTATCGTTCAATGTTTTATTACCGATGAATAATTTTTTTTAACATTAACAGTTTAAAATTTTTCATGAAATAGTGATAGGATAAATATATTTTAATTTAGAAATAACTTCATTCACTCATTTCAAATACATTTTTTATAAGTTATATTTGTTGAGTTTCTTCTTTTATGGTTTTATTTAAGATGCTATTCCGGAATAAAAGAATTTTTAAAAATAGTAATAGATTCACTACTTGCGGATCAAGACTCGATACTGAACCCCAAAATGAAATTCAGGAACATAGTGAACTAAGAAAATAAACATTTTCAGTGTTGCGCGCATTGCTTTTAAGGACGAAACATACTCCTAAGAAAGTAAAAGAAATTCAAAATCATTTTGTTTATTTGTTTATACCCTTCTAACCACCATAATATACTATTAACATTATCAATAAATAAAACAAAAATTTTCTAAGATCTGGAATAAATTTTCTACCGTTTAAGCAAAAACACTGATGATTCATGTGAATATGATTTTATGAATGTTTGCATTGTGGCACTTGCCTCTTCATCTTGATCTATTTGTAGTTTGCAAAAAGACTGATGAGATCGCGATTATATATTAAACCCATTCAATGACGGTGGGAAGAAGAACTGTACCACTTGTTTATTTTAAAACCACTTAACTAATAATAGTTTTAAACCAAGTTTTATATTTTTTTAAAGCTATAATAGGGTTCCCACGGTCTGGAAAATGTTTTAAAGTGGTAGCAAAAGTGATTTTAAGTTGTATATTTTTTTAATGCTTTATATCTTTTTAGTTTTATATTTTTTTAAAGCTTTAACAGGGTTCCCACGGTCTGGAAAATGTTTTAAAGTGGTAGCAAAAGTGATTTTAAGTTTTATATTTTTTAAAAGCTTTATATTTTTTTCAGTTTTATATTTTTTTAAAGCTATAATAGGGTTCCCACGGTCTGGAAAATGTTTTAAAGTGGTAGCAAAAGTGATTTTAAGTTTTATATTTTTTAAAAGCTTTATATTTTTTTCAGTTTAATATTTTTTTAAAGCTATAATAGGGTTCCCACGGTCTGGAAAATGTTTTAAAGTGGTAGCAAAAGTGATTTTAATCTAGATGTTTTAAGCTACCAATAAATGTTTAGTTTAAATTAAATGTGTGCAAAAAAATGCCTAGGGAATAATTTCATTATTCCCAAATGAATGCTAAATTTAACATTTTTCAGTAGTTTTGAAAAATGTTAGCAATAACTAATTTATTTATTCCAGATAGTGGAAAACCGGTAAAAAGATAAAACAGATCATCTCACTCGAGAACTGTATTTGATTAATATAATTTTATATTTTAATTTCTCCTGTTTTTAAGAGAGAATTTTTTAACTGGTTATTAGTTTTATGCTTCTCCATTCTATTTTTGATTAAATAAATAAGATTTACAATGGTTTTGATAACCATTATATCTAATCCATTTAAACCAATAATGAGGACCTAATCAAACTAATCAATTAAAATCAATAAATCTTGTAATGAAAATTTTAATTACTGTCAAAATTAAAGTAACAATGATTTCTTACAATGGTTTTAATAACCATTATATATCTAATCAATATAAACTTATAATGAGGACCTTATCAATCTAATCAATTAAAACAAATAAATCTCGAGATGAGGTGTTTGATAACTGGCAAAATTAAACTAACAATGGTTTTGATAACCATTATATCTAGTCAATTTAAAAAAATAAAGTTTCTTTTCCAAAGGAAATTAGACAACAACCATTTTGCCAACAACCATTTGCCTTACGGCGATCGCTATTTTCTTCATTGTGTAGTGAATCGTATTTATATTTTGTTTCCAAAATTTGGTGTGATAATGCATTTTAAAAAAGAAAAACTGCAAAAAAGCAAATCACAATAGATTTTAACAGAAAAAGCGATTGCAATTCTGTTAAAAAAAAAATAAAAGTTCTTTTTTATTTAAGATCGAGTTCATTCAGACACATAAATAACTTGCCTTTTAAGTCATCTTTTGCGTGCATGCAATCTCATTTTGGACCTAGCTCTTCACATCAACTTTATTCTATAATATTTTATAACCGTCGTTGAACAGCCAGCCCAATTCTGGGTTTACGACGAAAAATCTTGAAAACCTCCCATGGTTAGCCTGACGGCAAGGGGACTCTAACCCAAGATCTACCTACCACTGAGGACATAGCTTATTTCAAATATATATATATTTTTTATACATAAATATATAAAAAATATTTTTTTAAATTTCTTTAATTGTGACAAGATTTAATAAAACTTTTACATTTGAAAACTTGAAAGAAGACATCAAGCTCGGGATAATGGCTGCTCACTTTTGTAGAAATTCAAGGAAGAAATATTCTAGACAAATTTAAAAGTTGGTAGACAAAGATCAATATAGCAAAATGTTTCGTATAGTTCCTATAGACCAAAAGTTAAATATATGTATTACAGCTGACCAGCTGAATTCCTAAAATTTACGACAACTTCATAAAACATTTATCACCACTTTCTAAATTTTTCCATATTTTGGACCAATCTCAGATAGTATGAAATGCCACTACCATTTTTTAATTTTTTCCAGGTGCGTATGAACCCTGGAAATGAAAAAGGTCGTAAACGGCCTCGTGCGCCCAGGTAAAACTATATGACGATCATGATTTATTTGAATATTTTATTCTAAGGTGAAATCTAAAACGGAGCGTTTTTAAACTTCTTCAAAACAATATTGATACCAGCTTTTTTTCCAGGTGTGTTCGAACCCTGCAACTGTTATAAAATTAGCATATTGTGCAAAATTAGCATATTATATGAAGAACAGACTTACTGATTCCCTTGATTTTGCATTCAGAAAGTCTTAAAATATTAGGCTGAAAGGAAATCAAAAGCTCAATACAGCAATCAAATTCAATAAACGATATCGCAATACAGAAAAAAAGCTCTCGCGGACGAGAAAAAAAATATTGAGAACTCCTAAAGTAGACTTTCATGTATTCCTTTGTCGCTACCTTTCAAGAAACAGATGTCAAAGCTTAAAATTCGGAACTCAATGCGATATACTTTCTTGCATCAATTTAAAATATAAGAACACTTTTCAGTTAGTTACCACTTTTTTCAAAAAAACATTATTAATTATAATTACTACCCTCCACATTAAGTCGCATTGTGTTTAAATACTTTACCTTGTTGAATACTATGAAAACCCTCCATTGGCAGAGGGTCTTCAAGTTCCACAATGATATTGATTATCCCTTGTGGAACCCAAGTAGGAATGCATACTTGCAATGCTTCGTAAATAAACTTTTTCTAGTGGTAACGAAATTTAAGCTTAAGTCTATTCAATTTTATAAAATGGACTTGGACTGACTTTGCCCACCACTAAATACATGAATTATTCAAACGTATGGATCAAATGCCACTTTGTCCATTGTGAAGGGTTAATCCCTTCCGGTGCAGTGTTACTAATCTGGTAAAATTTATTCCAAAAGTATTGCGTACCACTAAAAATGTAAAACTATTTTCTTCTAACGTTTCACAAATGTTAAAGAATTTAGAAGTCTAGGATAACGGTTATATAAGAATTTGTGATCAATATGGATACTGATTTATAAAATTTTGTGTCAACATTTACAGTTTAGCAGAAGGTTAACCGTTAAATTGCCAATGCTCCATGTTAGGAGGATATCTCCTGTTTGAAATGTTACAGAGTTGGTAACTCAATGTTTTCTTTTGAAGCACTTGCAATTGGTGATGCTGGATATTCATATCCGACAGAATAATTCAATAATGTAGAATTACATATCTTGGACTGAAATTGTAACCAAATTAGGTGCTGGTTGGGGAAATTTTTCATTTAGTTTTCATGCAAACTTGCTACCACATTTTCCATTAAAGCACTTTTCCCAATGTTGCGAAAATAAGAGTCCGGTTGGAAAATAAAAGTGGGTTGAAACTTATTTGGTATTAAATAGACTATGATCAGCTTGTGAACTCTATCCAGCAATAATATTGAAACTACTTGGCAAATAATCGACTATGATTTTGCTTTCTCGTATATACTGGGGTTAATAGCTAAGCTTAGCTAGACTTCGATGTCCGCTGTCATAGACCGAAAAATAAAAGAATTATATCATCAGAAATAATGTGGATAAGTAAACTCACTCATTACGTGTAGCTGGAGTCTTCTGTCATTGATTTTATCACAAATAAAACCACAATTTACTCTCATTTTTCAAAATTTGCTGAACATTCAAAAACTACACAATCTCCGGTCTGCTGCCAACCATAAATGCAAGAAAAAACATGTGAGTTGGTCTGAGTTTTGTGAATTATTAGCGTTAAGATGTAACTACACCCTTTAACACTTTCCTTCGCAGTGTTTGCCAGTTTTGCAAAACTTAATTCAAATATTTTAGAAACCACTGGAAATGTGAAACGAGCAGCGGTTGCTCAGAGGATAGAGCGCTCGCCTCCCAATGAAGTGACACAGGATCAAATCCCAGCATTGGTTGGTCAATACGATTTCTACTCCCAACTCGCACAAACCATAGTACTGACATAAATTTTTTTCAGTGATAGATGGGTCATGGGTTAAAATCTCCTTGCTGTCGAGCTAAACTTTCGTGGTTTTCCTTTGAATATAACGCAAATGCGTGTTATTTCGATCAAAAAGTCCCCCGTAAAGTTTCTCCTAATGCTTGAACCACGAGTCCCCATGTCTTTTGGATTGGATTCAAAATTACAAGGCTATGGAGTTAAACATTGATAGTCGTGAACGGCTGTTTAACTCCGGTTATAAAATGAAACTAAATGTAAAACTATTTGCTTCTAAGCGTTCACCAATTGCTAGTAACCATTTTTCTTTCATCAAAAAAGTATGCATCTTCCGAAAGAATCCCCTTACTGAGATTGCAACAGCTAATGTCTTGACTGGCTAAATTTTGCAACAGGGATTTGCTGTTCCGCAAAGGTGTGAAGCGTGTTTAAACATTCGATTCGGTATTAACTTGTAATAAAGTAATTTATTCACATAATTTTTAAAGTTTTTTTAATAACAAACACGGACAGGCCTGTAAGAGAGACGGAAAAGAGAAAAAACTGGTCGTGGAACTGTATCGATAATAGATAATTTTTATGAGGAGTAAATCTATTCTTAGCAGTAAACAACTCATTGTTATTAGTTTTTGCTTGGGGACGAAGCAATTCAATATATAAATTGTACCCGTTAAAATATATTGGTTAATTATAGATATTTTATTATTTCGGAAAAAAGATAAAAATGAAATTTATTTGTTACCAGTTTTTTACTCTTTTCCGTTTTGATATATATCGACTTGTCTCCATGTAACGCAAAAAAAGGTTAATAATTCCATCAAAAAGTCCTCCACGAAGGCAAACTTCTCCCAATACTTGATCGAAGAGTTCTCTTGTCTTCTGGATTGGGTTCAAAATTACAAGGCTACAGAGTTGAACATAAGTAGTTGCAAACCTAAAAATTGGAGTCGGCTGTTCAACGACGGTTATAAAATAAAATAATAAACATCATGAGATACTGAAAAAACACTAAATTTATTTGTACAAAAAACTAAACTTGGCTAAGGTAAAAACCTTTTTACAATATTTATCTTATATACAATTGATTGAGAGTTGATGAAAATCAACGAGCATAGGATTACCAACTTACCATGCTTTTTGTAAAAATTTATTCTAATTGAACCTGTAAAAATTGTATTCTAGTTGTAATCTAGTTTTATAAAATTCAATTTAGATGGACAAGCAAATAGCCCTTCGAGCTATAATCAGGTTTAAATCGGTATATATATTTACTGTAATTTTAAGGAGAACTTTATGTTGTTCAAGAATTAGTGATTGTTAAAAAACGGTAAATGTTTAGAGGTAAAAAGTTTAACAATTTTGGCGGATTATATTTCTTTTTTAATAAGGGTTGCCAGACTGGAAACATTGCGTCGGAAAGGGTTTAACGGAATTCTATGCATATGAGTCACAAAAAAAATCAGTTATAGAAATTTTATTAAATTTTCAATGTAATTTAATACATTTCTTATGAAAGAAATTAATCATTAATTGCAATTCTATGCTCTTGAGTTCAACGGAACCAGTTATGAAAATTTCTTTTTTTTCTCCCCCTTTACTCAAGAAATCGAGCTTTAAATGTAATTCCGTGCCTTTGAATCGAAAGTCACAAGTATATATACTTCATTAAGTTATTAATGTAGTTTGCATTTTATATAAAAAGGATTTAAATATATGAGTTGAAAGAAATCATGTAAAAAAAAAGCTTCCCATGGGAGTTAAAAATCAAGTGTGAATTCTATGCATGTTAGTATTAAAAACTTGTCTCGATTCAAAGAAATTTATTTGCCTCTATCATCTAGCAGTGGCGGTGAGGTGAATGCTTGAAGTGAGATTCTGAAGAGGATAAAAAAAGCTTCCCCTTCCTCCAACCGTGGAACTAAAAATAAAGAATCTTTCTTGGCACGGGTGGCATTCGTGAAAGAAGATGCTGATGAAGACGGCGCGTCGGCCACCATCCCCATGGGCCACTCATGACGACCACCCTCTTCGTCCACGCGCCCACTCAGTCAGGGGGTGGCGGCGGTGGACGCTTTGACTTTGACGACGGGGGCACCTTCGGTGGAGGGTGGGAAGATGGCAAGGCCCACGGACACGGTGTGTGCACGGGCCCAAAGGGACAGGGTGAGTACAGTGGATCTTGGTCCCAAGGATTCGAAGTGTGTGGTGTGTATACGTGGCCAACAGGTAGCTCTTATGAAGGACAGTGGTCAAATGGTAAAAGACATGGACTTGGATTAGAAACAAGGGGCCGTTGGATATATAGGGGAGAGTGGACCGATGGATTCAAGGGTCGGTATGGTGTGAGGCAGTGCATTTCGTCTGGTGCCAAGTACGATGGCACGTGGGCCAATGGACTGCAGGATGGTTATGGATCTGAGACATACGCAGACGGGGGTAAGTGTTTTCCTCGTTTTTACTTTTTTGTTTGCATACACAGAGTCAAAATGTTGATTCTCAACCTAAGCGCTGATGGAATAGTCTAAATATTGATTCTCAACATAAGTGCTGATGGAATAGTCTAAATATTGATTCTCAACATAAGCGCTGATGGAATAGTCTAAATATTGATTCTCAACATAAGAGCTGATGGAAACTACGGTATAGATTTCTTAAAAGTCAACAGGTCATCAATAATGTGGACAATAAAATGTCACATTTCCGCAATATTGTGTAATTTCATTAGCAATACTTTATTACAAGAGAGGTCGGCAAAAATTATGTTTTTTTATTTTCAAAAAAAAATCAATTTTTGTTTCATTGAATTTTTGTTTGTAAACAACACAATAGCACTGTTCCGTATTTTGTTTATTTATGAAGATCAGAATTTTTAACGATTATAATCATTTTCGATCAAAACTTAATGATTATAACATCCTCCGCCATTTTGAAAAACATTGTTTTCACCACTATGCGAAGGCGAGATTGGCCATAAAACGGTTGAATACGTGTAACAAATTTATTCGAAAGACGGCGTTCATTTTGACCTGATAAAAGTGTCTCTCAAGTAAAGGGTTACGGTAAAAATATACATAAGGAGAATCTGAGATTCGGTAATATCGCTTGCTTCGACCTTCGTTGTCAATTTTAAAATTTCGGGATTCGAATTTGATTTGTACTTATAAAATTACAAAGTAAATTCAAAACCTGTAATTTTTAAAGTCGATGAAGGTTATAAGTTCTTTATAATCAGTACAGTTTTACTCAAAAAATGTACTAATAATAATTAGCTCTTATTCGGTCACTATAATGATATTTAATGAACTTAGTATCTTGACCTATATACCAATGACAGTTATCCAATTTTAAAAAAGGAGACAGGTTTTTAAATTTTATTATTTTATTCATCGCTGTTGTATGTTACAGAAAAATATATAATGTTATTACAATTTATCACAAAATAAAAATATTTATATAATTTTGATCTGTCGATTATATTTATACAGTTGAAATGCTACTGTTTTTGACTATTATTAATAAATTTTAGAAAAGTGTTAGTATACTGTAAAACATACAGTGTCTTAAGAATCAGTTCAGCGTTTTATCATTATCCCTGTTCCTTGTACCATAATATTGTTCTCACTCGTGTGTCCTTAATATGGAGCTAAAATAAACCATAATTGAAAGTAAACAATGATTGAGCATCAATTGGAGGCAAATATAGGGTATTCAAGTTTAAGACTGATTAATATCATTTTCAAAAGCAGTCGAACATTCCTCGAAAGTATTCTACTTAATATTCGTTTACTCGGAATCTATTCTACGATTTTATTCAAATTCCGCATTTTGTCACTTAAAATTACATATTTTTAAATGATCTTAAAATGAGTATACCTCATTATTCAAAATTTTTTCATCCTTATTTAAACAAAGATAAAATAAAACACGATTAAAAAATAATACACGATAATTTAAATTATTTTTTAATAGGACTTACCTTAGGTTAAACGAATTTTATAACTGCGTGCAAAGAATTTTTACAGTTCGCTGAAACGATTTTGGAGATTTAGCGAAATGTGCAAAAAATTAAATTAGCATTAAGGGGTCCAAACTTTCGGCTGCTCATATGACCAAATCTATTGAAAAAAAAAAGTATGTTTATTCACGGAATGTACGTTTCATGTCTCATTTCGTAACTTAGCATATCGTCTACATAAATTAATTTACATATTTAAGACTAAGCCTTCGAGTCATTGACGCGTTAAGCATTAAGGGGTCCAAACTTTCGACTGGTCTTCTAAACAAACTATAGCTAATTCTATACCTATTACTATAGCTAAAACTATAGCTAATTCTAAACAAGCAATATTTGGATTTTTGATCCTTAAAATAGGGCCTATGCCCTATTTTAAGGATCAAAACCCCCCCAAATAATAATAATAATAAATAAATAAATAAATAAAATTTATTAGCAGCCGTGAACATATTAACCAAAGAAAGAGTACTATAATTATTTTGATAATTACTACTAGTTATTTTAATGTGAAGAATGACAATTTTTTGAATAATCGTTTAATTAATGAAACTCATAAAATAATAGGTCTTGCACCAAACAGGTGAATTCGCAAACATGGAATGGTTATATAGTCTAGCTCTGATTTTGTTTTTGGCGTATACATTTGCTGAAAATGAATAAAATAGGCTGAATTATATAGTTACTGGAGTTTTACTTAAATAATTTTATAACCTATATAAATAAATAATAAAAAACCAAAAATCTAACAAAATAACCAAACAATTACAGAAATTATGGTTTTATTGTTTTGATACAAATATAATTTCAAGCTTCAAAAATCATTACTAATATAAAAAATTTAAACTCTAGAAGCACTGTAACATTTCGACGGAACATCAGGGTTACGCGGTACCCCATTTGGTGACCGCTAGATTAGACAATCTTATTTGTATAAAAAAAAAATTAAGATTTAAATATTCCAATTTAAATAGAGACTAAGAAAAAATAATATCTTTAACGTCTGCCCCAAGTTGGAATGATTGGAACCGTGTTTAATGGGTAAATAAAGTAATTTTTTTTGTCACATTTTAAATTTGCACTTGAGTAAAAAAATTTCTTTTTTTAATTAAAAAAGTGATGTACTTGTCGAAAAATATTTTTTTTTTTCTATTTTAAGAAATAAAAGTATTCATTGTTATATAATTATAATTTTTCAACATATTTAGATATTTTTTACTTCTAAAACTTCATGGCCGAAAAAAAATTTATTATAATTTTGTTTTATTTATTTTTTAATATTAAAGCAGTGAATATATTCTACAAAATTTTTAGTGCACTTCTGAGGTAGACTGTTTCGAGTAGAGAAGGGATTTTAACGAAACTTGGCCGTCAGCCAATTGTTCCGCTTCGTCACGTTATTATGCCTTCTTTCGCTTTTCCATGCTTTTTTTTTTAAATTTTTTTTTATTTCTCATGAAATCTTTTTCGCTTCTTCCAGATGTTTGATATTCTTTTTTTTTCTTCTTTTTTTAAAAAATTCTTTGAAAGAGAGTTAAACTTGTTGCAGCGTTTGTTTACACAATTTAGATAATTAATTAAACATGATTAATACCGTGTTCTTAGCTTCTTAAGAGGCTTTTTCCTTCGTCACCTTGAGTTTTTGGTAAAATTTTTGAATTTTGTTTATTTGGTGTTGTCTTGTTCTTGCCTTTTTAAATCTGTAGTAGTTGCAGTTAGTAAAATAATTTTTACTAACAGCAATTAATATTAATATTAGAATTTTACTATTAGTAAAATAATTTTTCCAAAAAAAAAAAGAAAAAAAGCTTAACATGGGGTACAATTGAGAAGATTCATGACAGTAATCGAGTATAATATGAAAAACTCACAACTACTTCCACTTCGAAAATTTTACTAGGAATAGCATTTACCTTTTAGTTTAATTAATAAGCTGAGTTTTAAATATGTTTACTAAATTCATAAACTTAGATAAAACAGCAAAATAAATTATTTCAAAAGGAACTAGAGTAATACAATTCTAACCTGCCGAGTAGCGACATATAACAACACACTTCATTTAATATTTACTTGTTGCTAGAAATCAGGTTCGCAGAAAATGCTGTTTACTAATTAAATTTAGTAAGAATAACACGACCTGTGACGTAGGCTATAGTATACCTTTTATAGCAGTTTATTTGTGGGCAGGATAATAATAGTTTGCTTTATTTAATTCACCACTACTAAGTTCGAATTAAGACATTTATGACTGGCCCGTCCCGAAAAGGTTAATCATGCAAAAATGCGGACATGAAACTGCTTATTTTTATTTATTTTCATTTAAAATAACATAATTTAAACGATCCAAAAAATATTTTAATTGAGTCAGAATATATATCTAACTCTAAGTATAGAAATCTGATTTTTATTTATTTATTTATTTATTTTTGGAAGAAGAAGAAAGTCGCATAAGAAAATACATAAAACTTATTATTCATTTCAATATTTTTACAAAACTGTCTCTGATTTTATGAAGATTACGGTGGCTCATTTAATCATGCAAAAAATGAGGAAATAAAACAGCTTTTTTTTATTTATTCACATTTTAAATAACAATTTAAATAATTTAAACGATCCAAAAATATTTAAATTGTGTCAGAACGTATATCTAGTATATAAAATCATTTTTTTTTAAAAGAAAAATTAATAAAATAAAAATGGATGTATTTGTCAATTGGGTATAATATAAAAAAGCACAACTACTTCCACTTACTAGGAATAACATTTACCTTTTAGTTTAATTAATAAACTGAGTTTTAAATATGTTTACTAAATTCATAAACTTAGATAAAACAACAATATAAATTATTTCCAAAGGAACTAGACTAATACAATTCCAACCTGGCGAGTAGCGACTTATAAACAAGACACTTCGTTTGATGCTTTTACTTGTTGCTAGAAATCAGGTTCGCAGAAAATGCTGTTTACTAGTTAAATTTAGTAGGAATAACACGATCTGTGACGTAGGCTATAGTATACCGCTATAAAAATAGTTTGGCTACCAGTTTTATCTTTTTAATCCTGATTATCGACACCCAGAGAATGCATATATGACTCGCCCGTCTGGAAGAGGTTAAACAAGCCTCCGTAATCTTCACAGAATTAGAGACAGTTTTGCTACAATATTGAAATGAATAATAAGTTTTATGTATTTCCTTATGCGACTTTCTTCTTCTTTTTCGTCTAAAAAAAAAGGGGGGGGGGACAGTTTTTTTCTATTTCAGTTACTTATACCCGTGACTCAGGGGATAGAGCGCTCGCCTTCCAATGAGGTGAACTGGGTTCGATCCCGGCGGTGTCTGGTCGATGCGAATTTCGCATCCGGGTTGCACCGACCACAATGCTGACTTGAAATATCCTCAGTGGCAGACGGATCATGGATTAGAATCCCTTTGCCGTCAGGCTAACCGTGTTTGGTTCTCGTGGTTTTCCTCTCCATGTAACGCAAATGCAGGTTAGTTTCTCCAGAAAGTCCCACACGAAGGCAAATTTCTCCCAATACTTGATCCAAGAGTTTCCTTGTCTTCTGGATTGGGTTCAAAATTACAAGGCTACGGAGTTGAACATTAGTAGTCGTAAACTCAAAAATTGGGTCGGCTGTTCAACGACGGTTATAAAATAAAACAAAATAATTTTAATTAATTTATAAACATAAATACTGACATTCTTTGTGGTTTATCCTCAAAATCTTGAGACAGCTATGACAATTTTTGTAAAA